CCCACAAACCTCAATAGCTTGCCACCTGCCCGCCTTCCTTTTTTTTTTTTTTTATTTTTTGTTCTTCTTTTTTTTTTGTTTTTTGGGGGGGGGGGGGGGGGGGTATTCTAGCTCGACCAATGGCTGAACGAACACCAAATCCAGTTTTTGAAATTGTACCTGATGAAATATTTCAAGTTAAAATAGCTGATTTAGGAAATGCTTGTTGGACAGTATGTGTAACGAAATGAAAAAAAGAAGAAGAACGAATAAAATTCTTTATTTAATATTCTTTTTTTTCTAGTACCAACATTTTACAGAAGATATTCAAACACGACAATATCGTTCACTTGAAGTTATACTTGGAGCTGGTTATGATACATCAGCTGATATATGGAGTGTTGCTTGTATGGCATTTGAATTAGCAACTGGAGATTATTTATTCGAACCACACAGTGGAGAAGATTATAGTCGAGATGAAGATCATATTGCACATATTATTGAATTATTAGGTCCAATACCTATTGAAATAGCTCATTCAGGTCGATATTCAAGAGAATTTTTTAATAAACGAGGTAAAATAATAACAAAACATTTTTGTTTTAGAAAAAAAAAAAGAAATCTATTATAATTTATTTTAAGGACAATTACGTAATATAAAACAATTAAAACCATGGGATTTATTTCATGTATTAACTGAAAAATATAAATGGCCACCATATGAAGCTATTGAATTTACACATTTTCTTGAACCAATGCTTCATTATGATGTTAATCTACGCGCTACGGCTGCTGAATGCTTAATGAATCCATGGTAAGTTGATTTACAACAAAAAAAAAATTTAAAAAATCGATAACAATGAAAAGAATTTCATTAAAATACATGATAATAATAATAATAATAATAATAACATCTAGCAAGCGTTCAATAATGAATAGTCATATATAATAGAGAACAAGTGTTATGATGATTAAATTTCTTTTCCTATATAGGATTACTGGTGAACCTTTATTTGGAAACCCTATCGAAGGTTTTATGTATTCAGAAGAACAATTAGCTTACGGTAGTAGTAGTAATGAACATAGTCCATCGGCAATGCAAGCTGGCGCCGTTGGTTTTGATTTTCGTTCGCATCCGACTGATTTTGGTCATTTCTTATCAGCTGCTGTTGGACATCCACAATTTTTGCATGGTGCAGTTAATTTTCATCCAGATGATTCGGATGATGATGTGTCCGAGCAATCAGATGATCTTGATGAAGAAGAAGATGATGAGGAACAATCGGACGGTGATGAAAGTAGTGTAGGCGAGCTTGATGAATGATTGATAAAATAGGGTGGCGCTGCATGTGTGTGTGTATGTTTGTCTATGTTTCTTCTTTTTGTATTTTATAAATTGTTTCTATATGTTTGTGTTTCTGAATGATGTGTTATCACAATGAAATCTATTCGGACGCATGAACACAAAAAAAAAGAAAAAACGAAATGAAGAAGCGTCTGACTGTGATACACACAAGTATAGGCTCTCTAATTCTCATTCATTAGCCTAGTAGCCATGGTTTTTTTCCTTCTTTTCATTTGTGCGTGTGTGTTTTTTTTCATTAAAAAACAGTGTTTGTCAAGAATCATTCCTATAAAAAGCACAGAGGAACACAATTTAAAATTTAACAAAACAAAAAAAGAGAGATTTACTATCATGATCACTGTACATTTTCTTTTTCTTTTGTCGCCAAAACAAAACAACAGCAACAATAATAAAGCAACAAATAGATATTTTTTGTTTTCTCACTTATTCAAATAAATTTTACTCATTTACACAAACACACACATATGGTTTTTTCGTTTTGTTTGTTTGTTTGTCTATTATGTTTTTTTTTTCTTACCATAATATGTTTTTTTGTCTTCTTTTTTTCCCTTTCTAATATCTATCTTTCACATATAGAAAACACATATCTTTCGTGCACTCGATGTGTTTGTTAAAAAAACGACGATCGAATTTCTATATAACATACACCCATACATATATATCATATATAATTAAAGTCAGTTTTTGCGTTCGATATGTTTCGTTTTTTTTTTTTTTTTTTCGTTTTTGTTTTGTTCATTCTTCTTCTTCCTGCTTTGTCTTCTGAAGATCTCATTATCATTAAAATAAAGAGAAAAGGAACACATGCATTAAAAAAAAAATATATATATGAATAACCGCGCAAAAAGACAAAAAAGTATCGAGTAATTCTTTGAATTTGTAATCATTTTTTGTCATATTATTAAAAGTAAAATATTTGTCGGTGCATCATTAAAGAAAAATAGATGCATGACATTATTCGATAACTAGTTTTATTAAATGATTTCAAATCAATTAACAACGACTAAAGTACTTACAAGCAACGAGTACAATAAGTTCAATGATGAAAAATTTAAAATAGAAAAGGTACTTTTTTCTGTTATTAACTCAAGAAGATAAATTATTTGTGTCGAAAATTAAATAAATAATGTTAAAAGTGTTAGATAAAATAAAACTATAGGATTACAATTATAGATAGTAATCAACTAGTTATTTATGTTCATGAGCTAATATTTAAAAAAAAAAAGAGGCACTGTATATTAGTTTTTCTACAAATGATTTTAAAGAACTGGATTTAACATATGTTAAACAATTTCACACATTACAATTTTATCTACTAAATAAAATTAAAATATAAAATAATGTATTGAAAAATCATACAGATGCTTTCATTTATATTTCTTTTATTTTCCATGTTATTTATATACGTAACTTTCTTATTGATTATCTTACTACAAGAATCTCTTTAGTTTTTCTCTTGACATTTTGTCTTTCAGGGTGTTTTTTGTATTAATCCAAGTGATTTAACAACATGTAAGAAAAAAAAAAGAACAGCCTTATCAGTTTGCCAATAATAAGTAATATCAATTAATTATGAGAAATCTTTTATTATTATTGTTATGTCTTAATATCATACAATGAAAATAATATCATAAAAGAAAAATCTCTAAATCAAAAACATTAAAACAAAAGATTATTTTGTAAAACACAATCTAAATGAATGTTATAGCATAGGGGTAACACTTTGAACTACCACAAACTCTGATCGATATTATTGATATACGATTGAAGATTGTATATCAATATTGTCGTGTTTTAATAGATGAATGATTTTGTTATTACATTTCTGAAGCATTAAGTAAAATGCTAGTGAAGTAATGCAGCTCAAAATAGATAGAATAAAGTAATCTTCCTATAGTTAAAAAGACTAGCAACATGATGTTTTATATTTTAATCCCTACAGGGACTGTATTAACAACTTTCACAGCCTCTTTCTATAAATAGAACTATTATTTTCTTCATATTAGTGTTCGAATTTTTCATCAAATGATACTCAACAATTTTCTACTATTCCAAAAATTTTCTCAATTAACACTAATACTAAATCTAATATCAATAATATATCAGTATCAACACAAATTGATGATGTATCTCAAATAAATTCCAATAAATCAACAACAACACATATTTCATGGAATTTATTTTCACAATCAAAACCTTTTAATAAACAACAAGAAAGGAATATTCTTAATAAATATAATTCAAATTTAATTTTAACAAAACAAAATCTATCCGATGAAATCTATCAATCAAATTCAAAATCTGATTATATTGATTGGACAAATCCACAAATAAATACATCATCTATAGAAACAACAACAATTAATAATCAATTAGATGCTATAAATTTTCTTCAAGAATATTTAGAACATGGAAATAATGATGTTTTGATTGATTTACTTCATGAAATAGCACAAGAAATAAATATTGATCAACATAATAACCAATATATATATTCAGCTATAAATAACAACCATCTTCATTTAGCACCAATATTTAATTCAAATCTTCAATTATCAAATAATAAAGAAAAAAAGAATAAGTTAAATATTTAAATTTATCGAATTCAATTTTTTTGTAAATATTTTAATATTCTATAGAAAAGAAAAATCTACTGATAAAGAAAAAAAGGATTCCAATGAAAATAAACGTAAGCTATATTTTATTTATTTTCAAACTATAAAATAAATCATTAATTTTTACTTTTTGTTTTTGCTCTAGAAAAAAAAGATGATGTAAGTGTTTTGAGAAAATTATATTTTCTTTTAATAAATTACAATCAATTTTAGAAGAAAAAAAACAATGGTAATCAGTAGTGAATGAGTTTTCTTTTCTTGAAACTTTATTTAAAGTACTATCACTATTTAAGATAATGAAATCAAAAGTAAAAAAACAAAAAAAAATAAAGATAAAACAAAACAAATTGAAGAAACAACGACAACAACCACTGATTCAGATAATGTTGTAGATACACCAGCTTTACTCAATCCAACACGCATAAATTTCAATAATCCAAAATCACCATCCTATTCTCCAGTAGAAACAATTGGATATCAATCTTTTTCTATACCTGTACCACAGTCAGGTGGACCAGCTGCAAATGGTCTTATTTCACCTGATCCAACTAATATTCATATTCCACAACAATCAAATAGCAAGTATCGATATTTAATAGATCAATTGATTACTTGTTTTTGGTTTCTAAAATAGTTGCACATCTTTCTCAAGTCCAACAACAGTTACAAACAAGTCCTCAAAATTCATTTGCAAATAAAACTACACATCCACATAATGGATCTGTACAACAACAATTGCAATCATTATCACAAATGGTTAACTTTTTTTTGCATATTTGAGTTAATAATTTTTGAAGTCAATTATTCTAGGCACGTGATGGTGATGAAATTTTGATAACATTAAGTGTTAATGCATTAACTCAAAAACAACAAATAAATAATAATAATAATAATCAACATTATCAAGCATTTATTCAAAATAATAACCCGTTTGTTATTAAGCTTTTTTTTCTCTGTTCCAAATAATTATTAGATTCGATAATTTTAGTTATTCTTCTTCACAATCATACAATCAAATGATGCCGTCATCAACAGGAATTGTGATGCCACGTAATCTTGAAATTGTTGCAAAAGGTTAAAATTTTGTTCTAATGTTCTATTGACATACTTTATGCTTATCTTTAACTTTAATAATCAAAGTAATAGATAAAATTGTTGATTAGATTATCAATATTCTGTTAAAATTTTGTTTCATGTTTCATATTTTAGGTTTTGCTCGAGTACAAAATGAACATCCACAACCTCCACCATCGAATATGTATTCACAACAACCACCACCCATGATTCATTCATATAATCAATCGCCTTATACAATGGTTCATCCACCTTTTGCACCTCGTCATCCAATGCCATGTTATTCAAGTAACGGTCCTCCGCAAGCACCTATTGGACCACCTATTCAACGTATGTCTATATTTCTCTATTCACTGAACTGATATATCTGAACTTTTAGCTATGTTTGCTCCGCCTAATATGATGATGTCTGGTGGATTTATTCGACCATCGAATTGTAGTGACTTTACATCTGCTATGCGAAACAATGTTGACGCTTGTAAGCATTTGTTTTTCTCGTTTAATTAAATTCATACATAGTCATAATTTCAAAGAGTTAACTTTTGAAATGAACAAATCTATTTAGGATATCGATTGCTTTGTTTCTAATAAGTTTTTCTTTCAATTTTAGCTTATAATCTATCTCATATCAATACTAGCAAATGTGATTATTTATGTCAATCATCATTAAATCAACCAGATTTTCGTGGACGACCATCTCCTGGTGTAATGATAAATCCATATATTTCTAATCTACCTCCATCAATGAATTTCTCTGCTAAACAATCTTCTAAACATAAAACAAAAAATAAATCTAATCAAATACATAATATAAATTCCGAAAATATCAATCGAACTTATTCATCAATTTATTAAAAAAATTTTTAATTTTTAGAACACATATATTTTATTTAATTGTCATGTATATATACATTTGACACCGGGTGTCATCAGATAAAGGGAAAAGAAAAATGAAGAGATATTATAACAAACAGAAAAAAAAATACAGTTAGAATTACATATATATATAAATATAGTTATGGTTTCTCTTTTAATTTTCCCCATGTTGTTGCACCTAAAGCTTTAGCAAAATGATCATCGACAACTGATTCAGTCGTTGATGATGTTTTATCTTCATTTGATGGTGCTGTTAATGGCCAAAATTTGCCAAGTGATCGAGCAAAATGTTCTTCAATTGAGTCAACTACATATAAAATACAAAATAGTTTTTTTTTTATTAAAGTTGTTTTGGTTTTTTTAAAATCAAACCTGGTGTTCGTTCTGTAGGTGAACTATTTGATGATGAATCCTCTGGTGTTAAAAATCCACCTGTAAATTTATTATAATTATTTCCGAGAGATTTTCGAAAATGTTCATCTATTGTTGTATGTGTTTCTTTTTGTTTATCTATAAATATAATTATTTAGAACATATTATTTTTAAAATGAAAAAAAAAAAAACACAATTTAATGAAATACCTTCAACTACTTTATAACCATATGGTTGATTTTGATATTGTTGTTCCAATAATGTTTGATAATTATCAAGAAATTGTTGAGTAAGAACTTTTTGTGTCATAAAACATTCATATGATGGGGATGACAATGTATTTTCATGTTGATTATTTGTTGAATTAGCCATGAAATATGCATAATGTTGTCGTAATAATTCTAAATGAGGTGATGATGGTGGCGTTGATGTAACAGCTGTTGGAAGATAAATTCGAAGTGGATCTTCTTGAGACACTGTTCTTCAAAAATAAAAAAAATTCATTAATAATAATTTTTAAAGAAATGAAAAACTTATTTTTTTCCTTAATGAAAAACATTTTTTTCAATTTTTTTCTTCTTCGTACATTTGTAAAAATATACGTGAAATTACACTTATCTCAAGTAACTAGAGCAATTTTTTTTTTTCGTTTTTCGGTTATTAAGTAAGCACTTCAATAAAACAAAAACAAAAATATGAATTTACTGTTTGATCGTTGTTGATCGATGTGTTGAATAATTTTCATGGTGACCTCCATTTGAATTGTCAATATCAATTGTCGGCGTATCAATAACATAAGCTCGACGTTTTTTTAATGGAAGATTTTTTGGTATCTGATTTTGATTGCACATTGAATTGTTGCCAGTATTATATCCGTTCATCGTCAAAAATATTTTTAATTTTCTGAAAAAAAAAAAAACAAGAAAAAATAAATAAAAAGTAATTTCTTTTAATTTCATATGCATCTATGCCTTTTTCTCTTTGTATTCATGTTTAAAAACCATGTACAAATAGAACATACGATGAAAATATAGAATGATTGTATCTACATAATTGAAATAATTCTCATTCTTAACATAGTTTGATTAGAAAATGTATGACCACGAATAGTATTCGTTCTTTTTATTTATTCGTTTTATTGTTTTTTTTTTGTCTTACCAAGCAATTTAGATAAGGAAGAAACCAGAAGCTATTACGCATTCGTTACTGATGAAACAATATAACAAAAAAAAACTAGAATAAAAATTTTTTCTCATAAAATAGTAAAATAAATTTGTCCAACTACTGACCATATGTCGCCCTCTTTAAACATTTTTCATAGATTTTTATCTTAGACATTATAGTCCTGACGTCTGTTCTTGTTCTTTTTCCTCTTACTTTATGTTTATGGTATATGCATATGTTTTAGACTATAAACGCACAATAAATAATGCCATACCATATGTAACTAAGTATAAAAAAACACAACCGTCAAATATAACAAACATCAACAAAGCAAAATAAAAATCCAATAAATATTGCTGTTAATAATACGTAACAGCATGTTATTCACTTACACTCAGTCTTGCAAACTAATATTAATAATAGTGAAAAAAAGAAGAAAAAAGAAAAAAAACAGAAAGCAATCGATAAGGAAGATTTTATTTGTCATTCTATAAACTATGACGGATATCAAACAACATATTTATTCGAGAAGAAAAGGAAGGACAGTTTTTTTAAGAATAAAATGACGAATAAAGCAATTTTAAAATACAAATGGCATATAACGCATTTTTTATTTTCACGACAGAAAAGGAATTTTTTTGCTTCTTTCAATTCTAAAAATATATCGTCTACTGTTTGCCCACTGTTAAAATATTATTTTAATAACTTCAAGAAAACTGACAAGCTACGTTAAGATTTTTTTTAGAAAAAAAATGTCGAAGTTGATATTGAAAAAAAAAATGTACGAAAAATACCCTTATATACATGCATACACATGGTTTCTTACCGTTAGATTTTTGCGTTGTTGTTCGATTGTTTGCTAGACTAATAGACAGTCTCTATATATACGTCTGTGAAGAACTTATCCACATCATAGTTGATTTTACGCATTCCATTTATCTATTCGGTTTTTATGTAATATACTTCAATAAAAAAAGAAAAATAGTTTCGCTGCTCCTACTTGTTGATTAGAAGTATGTCTTTCATTAAAATTCCAATTGAGATGTGCCAACGATAAATCTTATCAATCGTGTGCGTTAATTGCGCAAATAAAAAATAATAACTGATACATTTTATTCATTTTTTTCAGCAGTACGTCAATAAAAAAAATTAATTTATTTGTTAAAAAGAAAAATCACCATGTAAAACATATAAATGTGTTCATTATGAGTAAATAAGTAAAAAAATGCATGACCGATGAAGGCATGCTATGTCAAACAAATAGAAAGACAGAAAAAGAAGAAGGAGACGAAAGAAATAAGAAAGAATATGTCGACTATGCAATGATAAAAAATAAGTCTCTAATTTGATTTGTTCAATTATGATTGTCATGAATTTTTTCGAATATTTTTCTTTTTTATTTCATCATGTTTTTATTATTTATGAATAAATACATTAGAGAAAACGTTAAACAGCCGAAAAGTTTATTAACATGTCGAAATATATTGATAAAATGAATAGATTGCCCAGACGAAACCAACAAGCCATTACATACGTCAACATGATGACTAATTAATTATTAAATTAAGAGGAAAGGATATCGTAAATATTGATGTAAACGAAGAATAAAAATAAAAATAATAATTTAACACAATAATTTAACCAATATTAATTGATCTATACGCAAAATAATTAATACATAAAAAGAAAAATTAAAATTGAAAAAAATCTTTTTTTCAAACCTAAGTGAAATTTGCCCTGGTTCATTATCTCGTCCCTATATCAAAATTATTGTTTCTTTAATACAATACGAAAGCAAAAAATAAAATAAAATAAAATAAACTAACCAAATATTTCATAATATCATCAATATGTGCAATTGGAAACGGAATCTTTGCTTTTCTTAATCCATTACGAAATTGTTCATATGTAATTATTGATGTAGGCGTACGAGCTCCTTCATGTGGATTAAATATATCTGATAAAGCAATTGCATTTTCTTCACAGTAAATATGTATTAAATTTAAAAGATAATTTGTAAAATGTTCTACTGTTTGCCTTACTGGTCCGACATAACATTTTAATTTAGAATTATTTAAAAATAGTGAATCAATTTTTGATGTTTGCTTTGCGCTGATTGTTAAACCCTTAGAAGAAAAGAAAAAACAAGTCGTGTCTCGAACAAACAAAGTTCATTAAAATCGAACAAAAAAAAAACACCTACTGTTAAATCAAGTTCTTCTAATGTAATATTATTCATTTGTGATAATGATTCTAACATTATCATTATACAACGTGTATCAATATGATTTCGTCCTAACTATAAAAAAAACATCAAATCACCAAAAGTTTTCTTTTAATGTTTTACTCGAAAGATTTTTAATGATTGATTTGTTGCAGCAGATACGATCATTTTATATATTTGAGAATCTTTTCCAGTAATTAATAATGATGGATTTTCTTTAACCATGGCATCATATCTACATATGAATTGATTACCATGTAAATTTAATTCACATAATGACATATTACGTGTTAAAGAACTTGTTATAGATTCAATAGTATCATTTGTAAAGCTATTGTATGATAAATCAAGTGATATTAATTTATTATTATCACCAATTGCTTTAGCTAAGGCTTTAGTACCTGTTAAACGAATACTACACCAACTAACATCAAGATGAAGTAAAAAATTATTATCAGCTGAAAATGTAAAAGTTTATTTTATTTTATTTTTTTTTAATTTAAAAATATAATTTACTTAGCCATTCAGCAACATATTTTCCACCTATTTCATCTAATTGATTATGACTTATATTAAGATTTTTTAAATTTGGATGATCCTATTAAAAAATTTTTTTTTTCTGGTATTATTATTTATAATAAAAAAAATTATTTACCTCCAATTTTGAAAGTAAAAATTTCATATCATTAGCTGATAATTCATTTCCTATATGAAATAATAATTTGAAAATAAAAAATCAAAGAATTTCTATTACAAACCAGCTACACTTAAAGTTTTTATTTGAGCACATTGTGTAATACCATCAGCTAATTTACGAATACCTTTTGTACCGAGATTATCAAATGAAAGATCCTAGAGAAAAGAATATTTTCTATTATTCAAGAAATTTGATGTTACATTTTAAAATTATAACATATGATGTAAAAGTATTCGAAAATTAAGAATAGAATGTTTGAAGTCATGTCACAAATATCTGTTCTTTTTGTTTTTTTTTTGCAAGTACAAAGTCTAAAACAGTCATCAGAGATAACAGAATCTACATTTAAACAGTTTTCTTGGTATCTACTTATACAAAAGAAAAACTTCCTAAAACCACAAAATTTGAATATTGTTTTTTTGAAGATTAAAACTAGTTCGAGTAAAATTCATTGACATTGTTTGAACATAATAATAGAGAAAAATATTGCTTAATTCTTTCAAGATCAGCGTACAGAATTCTATATACTTTTTTCTTGAAGTTTCTTGATTTTTGAATAACTTGCGAACACAAGAAAGATATTCAAATGTAACATTGTAGTTTTGTCGGCTGATCTCAAATACAGTTATGACTCTTCCTTGCAAGTGTTTTTTCAAATAATATTTAGTCTATAGATATTTTCCTCGTACAGTTTAATTATTATATTTTTATATAATTATGACGGACATTGACCATAGAAGAGATATAGTAAAGCGGATTATTCTTAATGTGTGTTCATTTTTAATGCGTTTCTCAAATCATAATATTAGTGAACCCTCATAGTTTGTGTACATAATCGAAGGACATTCGCGAGAATATCCAGCTCAATTTTGAAGTGAAAATAATATTTCATAGTTAAGTTATGAACTAACTTTTGGAAGAGTCTTAAATTTCAAAGGTAACGCTCAATCATAAAATAACTGTATTTCAGAAGCTATTAAGAGCTAACATGTCAGTTTCATATTGCAGATAGAAGAGATATGGGACTACAATTTGTTAAAAAGAAATGAAACATTTGTGTCTCACGAATAATCATTCAGAAAAAGAGATCTAAATTTGCTGGGATGATCAACAGTTACTGATCACAATGATCATATGTTTTTAGAATTTTCTACTTATCATGATTGACTAACGGGGTACTCAAAGAGTTAACAAACTTATTAAAAAGAACTTTCTCTGATTCAATATTCATAAAACCAAATGCAGAATTTTACTGTTATCGAAACGAATTTTTTTAAAAACTATAATTGAAATTAACGATGTATTAAAATACATATATTACGTACATATTCCTCAATATATATATTTTCCGTAAGAATTTGATAGACATATGCCATTCCACTATTACCAATATTATTCGCTGATAAATTAAGTGATAAAACAGTTGTATTATGCTAAACGAGCATTTTAAAAATTGAGAATAATATATTGAAATGAAAAAAACTTACAATAAGACTAGCCGCTAATGCTGCACATCCTCGTGGACCAAGTCCATAATTACGTAAATTTATTTCTGTTGCATTTAATGATCGAATAATGATTGAACAAGGACAAATATTTAAACGTGCACATGTTTCTTCATATATTTGTACATACGATTTATTTAATGCCGATGTACTTTCTATTGAAAAGACAAATAGTTATATTAGATATGAGCAAGATATGTCTCAGTTTCAATGGGATGGAAAACAATATTTTTTCGTCGCGAATGATATATTTTATGGTCGTATAAAACATGCGCCAAATATCATACTCCCACAAGTCATGTATTCTAAAAGTTTATGCGAAACTAAATCAACCATCACTTCAATACTTTCTGTTATTATTTTGTTAGCAAAAATTACTCCTAGTTTTTGTAAACAATAGAACTGTGGAACATATAAATGTGCAGAATAGACGAATTATTATTGAATTAAAAAAATATTGAATCTCCAAGAAGGATCATATTAAAGGTTATGAGGGTCATGCAAAATGTTTCAAGCACATTGACATTGCTAGAAAATGACGTCGTATTTTTCGTAAGTACATTTATTACTAAACGTGAAACCAGGACAATAAATCATTGATCCCGTTCACCACCAAGATATATATGTATATAATTACATTTCGTTTGTCATTTGCAATAGATTCTATATTTACCTTTTTCATGTTCTCCAATTAATCCATCGTCCCATTCTTGATTATCTAATTCAGCTGTTGATACTGCTGATATTTTTTTTTTATTTCGAGAACTCAAATTTCTAACTTTCATTTCAGTNAGCATAGCAAAATAGAGCACTCTTTTCTCTATTAGACTATATAGAAAGAAAGTTTTTTTTAAGCTTACTATATGGCTATGTAACGTCGTGATCAGAACTTTTGGTACACCCTAAGTACTTCAACTGTGACTGAACTAAAACAAACCAGAATCATATTTACACAAGATATGATTATTATCAAATGTTAATAGAAATATTTTCCCACTTTATTTACTTCACCTTAACAATTCTCTTTTGCAAAAAATGACAAATTTTATTTTTTAATCAATGAAACTCGTTTGAGAAAGTGACTGCCGAAATCAGGTTAACATTGACTGATATTTTTAGTTTTTACACATTGCCTTAATATAATACCTGCGTTGTTAAACAATTGAGTTCTATACAAGTACGTCCCAAAGAAAACTACAAAAATGCACTAAAGCCTTTGATTGGGAATCAACGACTTAGAAAAACAAAATACTTAGTATCTATGAAATCAACATCTGAAAATTTTTAAATTTAGCTACCATTGTGAGGAATGTTTTGTATTTAAAGAGCATCGCAGAAAAAAGGCGTAGAATGAGCTTCCCATTGACAACTGTCGTGTTTAAATGATGAATACATTTCATGAAAAATATAAAAACATTGGAAGGATATTTTCAACCACCTTGTGCAGCATCGAAGAAGTGTAATTATCAAAGAATTTTTCTCGCGCACTTTAAACAAAGATTTCCTGATGAAGTTAATTACTTTTTCCAAGTATTAACTCCAAATGTTTAGCAAATGCTTGTCATTAAATATATTATTTTAACTAGTGATGACATATTTTTTCAAATGTTCTTTCAATTTTATACATTCTGCAATTCCTCACATTCCGAAAGGTCAATTGAAAAGCAGAAGATCAGTCAGTAGACGTCTGCCGATGATCGTGTTACATAATAGACCAAAATCGGTTATCGTACATGGCCAAAAGGCTTTATTCTTTAGAATACAATAAATAAACTTAGTTCGCTTAACTTACCATTATATTGCGCCATTTCAACAACTGATGTCGATTGATTAGTAGAAAGATTCTGTTTTCGAATTCTTTTCCAAATGATTAAAGTTAATTGAACAATAACTGGTAAACTTAATCGAAAAATTTTGTTTAAAACACCATACTTTTGGATTGCCCTAAGTAAATCTAATATTCCAAGTAAGAGCAATCTGGCATTTAATAAGGTTTAAGTGAAGAGAACTATCTCGTGGAAGAAGAAGATCAGATGTTGCAGTAGCTAGTCGCGGGTAGTGCCCCGAAGTGGTGCCGATGAACGACAAGCTAGTGCATTCGGCAGTTGCTTTTTGAAGAGCGTTCAATTAAATGGATTTAACAAGGGAATGTCAAGGGGTTAGATCTGATGAGTTTCAAAAGGCACTCAAAGTGATAGGATAGGAGAGATATTTTTGTATGTATTATAAGACCAGTTTTGCTCGAAGAATTGATTGTAGTGACACTGCGTGGATGGAAAACATCATTAAAGCAATTAAATTCGCTTCATCGAAAACGAACTTGTACGGAAAAGAATTAGTTTTTCGGCTCGTATGTTTTTTTGTGGATTTAGAATGTGCATTTATTGAGATAGATGATCAGTTAAAACAGCATATATCGTTTTCGATTTTGCATAAATGTATGAAAAAGAAGAGAATAATTGGAAAGTGTGTGATTGTTTTCGTCTTAGGAAAATATTTATCAATTAAGTGAGTTATTTGAAGTTAGTATCGAATGGTTTTTGGCTATTTATGAAATAAATGTATGCGATAAGAGTGAATACGCTATTGAATTTGGTCGTGTTTGACACTTATAAGAAAGATTCTTTCGTGTTTTTAAATCTATCATCCGAGGAAATATATAAATGGATAGGCGTGGGTCTCAATGTGGGACTTGGTGTTAATTTGTCACATGCTATAATTACTATTATGAAAAATGATACTTTTAAGCTAGTATGTTTTCTGGAATTCTGATATGTGCAATGTCTATGTACTGTTATTCGAAGAAAATAGTTTTGAAAACGTCTATGTGAATGATGTCGTAGCGTTCGTATTATATGGACAATAAGAGCCTGTCGTTCAAGCGCACTTATATAAAATGAGGACTTAGCCGTGGCTGGTACCCGAAAGCGGCGCCAATGCACTGTTAATCGTTAACATTGCAAGCATACTGCAGACTGACCTCACTAAAGATCTTTGCATTAGTTAGACATTTTGAAGAATAGTGCACTAAGATTTCCTTAATGGGAACCTCAAAGAAAACTCTGATTTCTCAGTTCTACAAAAAAAATGCGGAAAGGAGAAATAATTCATGAGAAAACTTCTGTTTGAAAATTCCTGTCGATAATTTTAACGCTTTAGATCTAACGAAGTTTTGATATACTTAATCCTGGACTATGTGAAATTAAAGTACAGAGGGATAGTGTTATGAAAAGATGGAATTAGATCTAGCTGCTGCACTGGGTTATCTCCAAAAGTGTTGCCTCGAAGTTTTGGGATTTATTTGATAAACGTCAACAGTAGAGGTGAAATGGGTCTGAATAAGGAATGTCAGACATAAAAAGCTGAAAAAACTATGTGAAGTCAAGGATGAGAAATGGTTTTTATGTTTGAACGCAATGACTGAATAGTTCATCAGAACAGAAACATTACTGAAAGAATATATACGTGCTGTATCGGTAGTGGAAATGAATGAAATAAAAGAGTGTTTGTTTTGGTATATGTTTTTCTTAGTATTTATTCAAGTTTCCGAATGTATATTGATATATTCAAATTACTTGTCTAGTTTTATCACCACTTTGAATAAGAGCTTGTTGTATGTATGATATTTCAATTAGAGATCAGATATCATATGATATATTTTAAGCTAGGGGTTCCATTGAACTTCTACTTTCTTAGAAAACTCTATAGTAAATAGTATTATCGATGAATGTTCTAGAATGTATACAAATTTCTAGTAGAATTTTCAAAAAGTACTCTGCGTTTTCTTATAATTTTTGTGAACTTCTATTGCTACACGTCTCGGAAAAATTGAATACTGTATCTTGCTCAGTCGAGCGCTAAGCGAGTCGAAGCGACGAGCGTTACTTGTGCTGTAATGTTTTATCATATGCTACTTGACCTGAAAAAATAATACGTTTCATTTGAAAGGTGAAACGAAGAATCGACAATCAAAAATTTCGAAATTAGAATTGGGATAGTATTGTCACATGCCCAGTGCTTTCTAAATTCTTTCGGGACTTCAATAGTAACAAACTTCATATGGTATTTGACAGCTCGAATCTCGAACCATAAAATACATCATGAAATTTATTATTGTCGAAATTTCAAAGGAATTCAGATAGTGCTGGAAACTAGAAAATCTTGTCCAAATTCTGATTGCTGATTCTCCAGTAAACCATTTGAGAAGAAAGCACCATGAGAATAGTTGACGATGAAGAACGTCCTTGCAATTGACTAAGAGTTAGTTCAGTTTGAACAATAAATATATCATTTTTGTTTTAACAATTGAAAATGATCACGATGTTTTTTATTGTTCATATGGAGTCCAACAGACTGCCAGTCTTTGTTTCCACAACACAAATCATCGCTTTTACATAATGTGTAGACGAATTGGCACCTTTACTTTGATAGAAATATCCTCAATATCTACTTATACCAATCATAAAGGACTAAATTTCGTAGTATAATAAGATATTAGACGAAAAGATACTTATCCAAAAATGTTTTTCAGTTTAAAACATTTTCTAATCTAATGATTCTTCAGCTTAAGTGACACGAAGGAGGAAAAAGAGGAAATATGTGGAAAAAGGAGGAGAAGGAGGGTGTACTTAGGAAAAAACGAGAAAAAGCAGGAGCATTCACATGCCAGAATAAAGCTACAAAAAAAGGATTTCAATGTTTATTTAGAATTAGTTATTTAGCGATATTCTTTTGTTGTACAGGACGAGGGCAATTTTCAAATATTTCTTTTTCAAGCCTTTTCAGCATCGTTTGAGAGAGAAATATTCGTGGATACACATGCTGTCTTATTGAAGAAATAATCGGATTTTCTGAACGATAAAATGAACCCATATAGCGTGCCATATCTACAACACGTTTTGTTCGTTTAAAACGTTTTTTATAATATTCTTGAAATGCTGGTTCCATTTGAGAATTATATTTTTCTAAACACATTGCAAGTGATATAGCATCTTCAATTGCCATATTTACTCCTTGTCCAATATGAGGTAATGTTGCATGACATGCATCTCCTAATAAACAAATTCGATTACGATGCCAACCATCATTACGATGTTGACGATAATATAATCCAAAATGAAGTATACGTTGTTTATCTGTTGCTGCTACACATTGATGTATGGGATGTGATTGAGGAAATTTTGTTAAACATTCACTTAATTCGTGCTGATTATTCATTTTTGTCCATTCAGCATCATCACTTGTTGATGGAGGTGTAACTGATGGATAAGTAATAGCCCACATATATTGTCCTTTATTACCAGCTCGGTAACTTAGACAGTGTCTATGACCGAAATATTGTATTAATGTATTTTTTGCTGTTATAATTGGATTAAGAGATGTTTGTTGATCGATATTATCTATCGTACCATAGAAAATATTTACTTTTGAATATATTGATTGAGCTATTGGAGTAAAAATTTGTTTAACAACTGTTGAATGTATTCCATCTGCACCAATAACCATATCAACTCGAACTGGTTTTTGTTCTTTTTCATTGTCAAATGAAATTGTAACACCATCATTATCTTGTTTAATATTAGTTACATTATGAGAATAATGTAAAATATCATTCTTTTCTAAAGGTTCTTTTAAAACATCAACAAGTTCCGAACGAAGAGTACCACCCATAAAATAACCAAATCGTTTTCCATAGTCAGCTATTCTATCGGATGCAGCTACTACTTCGCAATTGTCATTAAGAACTCGCCATTTTAGAAAAGGATGAAGGATTTTTTCGATTTGATCTTTCAAACCAATATGAGCAAGCGATATCTGTCCATTAGGTGTAAGACCAAATGCTGATCCAACTGTTGGAATAAAATAAGGTGCACGTTCATATAATGAAACAGACATTCCTATTTGTCTTAAAGCATTAGCAACGGTCAAACCACCAATTCCGCCACCAACTATTGCCACTGAACGAGCTGTTGCCATACTTATATTCAATTATTTAATATACTCAATATATTATCTAACAAAGAGAGAGCATATATAAATGATAATAGATCCGAACGTTTAATTTTAAAATCATGCATTTGGACAGATTTTTCGATACAAAATTATTCTTATGTAATGATTTTAGTATTCATCATTTTAAAACATGATTTTATATTGAATCCGATCATAGTCAAAATTTGAAGAAACATGCATTCTATTATCAAATGGCGTTAGTAGAGCTAATTTTCAGATACAATCAGGGGCAGCGAAATATTTCAATTCTAGGAATGCTCAACATTTTCTATAAGATTTTTATCTGGAAGTTAAAAATGAGAGAAGACGAGCTTTTCAATGTTACTTAAATAAAATAAAATTAGTGCTGCTTTTATCGAACTCTTACGTTCACTCTTTCTAAACATGGATGATATGCGTTCATATATATATTGCAGGTATCATCTTAGAATATCGCCGATAAGTTTGGTCATTGAAATGAAAACCATTGAAAACAGACGTTGCCGAAGTTTGGTGAAGAGCATATTAACAGTGTAACATTGTTCAGATGAGAAAAGAATTCAAAAGTTACGTAAAAAAAATCGTGTATTTGAAGAAAAATGCAAACATATATATTCATCGAAATGCAACTCTCAAAAGAGAAGATTTTGATCTACTTCACTCGGAACAAGTTTAATGGCGAAGCAGAAATGTTTCAGAAAAAAAAATGCTATATGGTAAGCTTCTGCATTGTTGAAAATGTTTATTAGGCACGTAATTTTAGTTGTCAGATGCGGAGAAAATTTTTAGAAGATTCTAGTTGATTTGACTCAAGCTTTTTCGTACAAGTCTTCTTCACTTGTAATGAAGGATTTTCACTTCTAGTCATTACCGGTGTATCATTCAATATTTACTTATATAAAACTTATTGTTTTCGCAAAAACGTTTTCTAAATCTGTTGCGACGAAATATATTGACGTTTTTATTACAAAAAGTGTGATGCATTACCCAAATCTATCAATCTGATGACAAGGAAAAAACATTCGAGCCTATTCTAACCTACAAAGCGTTAATCTAAGGAAAGACTTAGGCCTAATCAAGCTGTGTGGCTTCATCGCGTATACTTATTGGGCACGAGGTGGTAGTAAATAAAATGTATACTTACCTTGTGATAGCGGATCATCTGTTAGAAAAAAATGAAAATTAAGTAGTAATAGAAAATTTATACGTTAGACAGAGCCTATCGAAACTCTTATCTATTTAATATAAAGTGGGCCTGAATCTACCTAGGCTTCATGGTTGTACTACTGCAGATAAGATGCTATTTTCAAGAGCAATATTTGAGGATTCTTCAATAAAAATTTTTCTGATAATTTTTTAAAGTGATTATTTTGTCAATTTAAATAAATTAATAAGCAAGTCATTTATGAAATATTCTATTAGTATTAATATCATATGACATAGATAGTATAGAAATGTTTTGAATCTAGCAACATTTCTTTTTTTAGATTAGCAAGTTAGTTTTACGTCGTTTGATGATAAATGAAGGCATCAGCTGCCAGTAAATACCAATTGTTGATACTCAATCAGCTGCTCAATTGTAATTTTTTCAAAAAATCTATCATAAAATAATCTTGAGTTTTTCTTAGAAATATTTTGATCATAATATTATTATATTGATAAAAAAATCTTGAATAATTGCATTCGAAAGGACAACATCATTTTTCAATGGCTGTTGTTAACCAATCAGAATTCGAATGTGTACAATACGATACACTGCACACTTTAGTACATACCCTCACCCGAAAAAAGTCATCAAAATCGAGTTTTTACAGCCTCAAATTGATGGGATAAATTTCTACCAGAAATTCAAGCTAATTTTTTTGGTTCGGAATCTCGCTGGTCGTTTCGAGCCCAGGCCTAGATCACGAGATAATCATAAAACTAGCGCCACCTATGTGATAGTTTCACGAATATCTCGTGATCTAGATTTGGGCTCGAAACGGCCAGCGAGATTCTGAACTAAAAAAGTTAGCTTGAATTTCTGTTAGAAATTTATCCAACCAATTTGAGGCTGTAAAAACTCGATTTTGATGACTTTTTTCGGGTGAGGGTACGTACTACTTGTTGAGATCATTTTGTAAGAAGATTCGTTAAAAAAAAATAATTGCCCAGAAAAATTAGAAAGATCTTACAATGTTGTTATATAATATTTTCATGTTGATTATTTTTCTCCTTTTAATTCTCTTCATCATGTTTACTAACGACTAGATATCGGCGTGACTGCCGTGACTACCGTGAGTCACGATCGTGACCATTTTTCAAAAAAAAACGTCGTGACCGTGACCAAAACCTGGTCACGACCAGTCACGATAAATTTTCAATGTAACTATAAAGCAGTTATTTTCAAACTTTATTAGAGAATTAAATATTATATTTAGTATTCTTTCAATNTTCAATTGATCATCGAAGGTCGTCCAAATATCCAACATGAGCAAAATAACATTATGAATGTGGTTAGAAGATCAGCTACTCTTTCATATGTTTCTTGCTCGATAACTCAGAAATCTCAGATAATGAATGCGATCTCATGGGCTCTTCGATATGCCAATAATTCTTTCATTTATTTGAATAAGACCAACCCCTGTGGAACAAATCGTTACAAGACTTGGTTTGGTACATTTATGTTAGCCAACTGGAATAAAGTAAAGGGACAGTATAAAAATATCACAAACATATTTAATTCGAAGACTATGACTTTCGATTGTGGATGCACAGATACCGGTATTTATGCTTATGTTTACCGGGATCAACCATACATAATCCACTTATGTTCCTTATTCTGGTCGGCTCCAATGACAGGCACGGACTCGAAGGCCGGCACACTTATTCACGAAATGTCACATTTCCAAACGGTCGCTGGTACATATGATTATGCATATAGTAAAGATGGATGCACAAGTCTGGCTTCGAGTTCTCCGTCAAAATCAATTATGAATGCTGATAGCCATGAATATTTTGCTGAGAATACTCCTGTACTCTTATGACGAGAGAATTCGAACTTAACTTAGAAGTATTTTTGTGTGAATAATGCTCACGGCTTCATATACTATTCATTTCCTTTTGTACAAAGAACATGTAATTTTTATCTTTATAGCTAAAAATTAAAAAATAAATATGATACGTTATACAACACCTCTAGATTTTTCAATCATTTCGAAGGGTTTTTTTCATTAGTTAAGGAAACTTTGTTTTCTTATGTTATCATCGAAGGCACCGTTTGATCAATAGACAAGTTTGGTTTTTCATGTCATCGTCTCGAGAGTTCTACTATAATTACCCATAGATTCAATAATGATTTGCAAGCATAAGCATCGTTTGAAGAACGAAAAGAACGAACATCTGCTTCTGTTTTCGAAGTAGAAACCTTATCGATCTCCCTACAAAGGGCGGTACCAGTGTAATGAGCACTCATAACGTTGATCATCTCGCTTTATGCTACTGTAGCAACCACTTTTGCATCTTCACATATGGTTCTGTTCATCCAACTCGTTGATTCCGTACCGGGAAAATCATCGTACTGGAAACGATTGTTTTCCAAAGTTCTCCGAAAAATGAAATCGACAGGAAACAACTCGAATTCCCCTCGGAAAGTAAAGAAAAGGGTGATAAGCTCAACAGAATGACGAAAAGATATGATCACGAAAACACTGAAATTCATCACATCTGATAGAAACTGAATGATTCCTACATTTCATTCTGGTAAAATCTGACCATGCCTGAACACTTTCTAATGCGCTGCCAGTAGGATTCGTTCTATTTCCTGTAAGCTCTGCTGAATATTCTGTAGTATCTACGCAGGTTTGCTCAGTAACTGTTCTATTTTCAGCATGAATTCAATGCAGAAAACTATGAATTTGGAAGGAGTATTACGCATACTAAAGCATTAATACCGAAAACCACGATTTAGCCAGACTACATCAACAACATATACATGCAAGAATTCAGCATGATACTGTCGATAAATCTGTATAAACAGCTAGAATATCAGTGAAACGAAGATGAAATCGACCGGAAACAATTCACAATCCTATAGTGAGCATTTTATTCGTCAAATAAATCAAACACGCTCACTTTTTCTTTAGCTATGCTATACTTACTTCAACACTTGATCATATCCTTATTAAAGTTATGAGGAAAGATGATTTCTACAACTTTGGAAAGTGTAGAGATATATTGATGTCTGTACTCGCTTGGGTGATGCTGTCTTTGAAATAAAAGATGCAAGAGTATGAACCATAAGTCCTCGGGAAGAGAACTATGGAAGCGAAGCTGAGGGATATATAATGTGGAAATGACGAGATCCGATCCGTATCTCTTTTATCATGTTAGATGAATGTATCCCTAGTGTGGCATCTTAACAGATATGCGCTCCGTTTCTGAGTTGAGGAAATGGTGAGAATTGAGTTGGAAACGGTGAGTGGAACTGATTTTGAATCCGAGCGGAAATACACGGGAATAATACAGATCTGGTTGCTTCTCATCGTAGCACCTGGACCTAGGTATATAATTATATGCAAAACCAACCGATTTATTGCGCGAAAAAGATCGATAGTTTGCTATTCGACTCGATAAATATCAGAAGTTAGACGATTTCATGAAGAAAAAACGGTACTTCAGATAGATTGAAGTTGTGCGAGATAGAGTGAGAGTACTCGACTAGCAAGTATGGTGGTCCATGGATGTAGATATCAGTGCTGGTGTGAGTCTTTAAACTATCGATATCCACATCAACAGGAACATCTACACCCAACAATATATATGTTTAGCTAGATTACTCTTTCTATTCCACATCCAGCACTAATTCAACTATATCTAGAAATAAAGCATTCAATCGATGAGAATTTTTTTTCTTTTCTTCATTCTCTTGTGTATCAGCTCGTGTGAAGCTCTATATTCGACACAGAGAAAGTCTCCTTTTCAAAATACAAACTATATCCTGAAAGTCTTTCATATTCAATGCATGTCCATGCTTTGACATGGTCCTATAGTGTTGTCAATAAGACAGTTTCTGTATACGCTTGCGCACACACATCTCTTTAAATAAAAAGAAAGGAGAAACTTTTTTTCCTGTTTATTATACTTATTGCTTTAGACAAAACAAAAAATCCATCTTAATATCTTTTTACATTTTCAAGATTGTTTCTATGTAACTGAATACGTGAATGATTTGAAGATAGTGAATTTTCTACATGTTTAAAAGCCTGTTCACAATATAAAACTGCTTTCGAATCCTCTTCAATCCTTAAAGACACCATTCCAAGATGTTCATGAGAAGCAGTCAAATCGGGGTCCGTTGATGAAAGAATCTTCTTTTTTTATTTCAATAGATTCTTGATAATAGGCAATGGCATCTTCATTCTCATCTTGATCTGTCTTCACCCATCTGAGTTAGTAATATATAGACGCTTTTTCATGATCAGTTGTTGCTGGATTACGCAGGATATCATATACCTCTTTAGCTTTGTCCAACTGTCCAAGTTTAATCAGCAACATACCCAAACGATCCCATCCTTTTGAGATGAGGATAAGTCTCTTCGTGCATTCGTTCAGTAGGTGCATAGAGTTCTGGATCGTGCCACTAGTCAATGTTAAATCAACGTGCCAAAGACGATTATTTCCATCGATTTGTTTCGTTAATCCAATCCGAAAAATTAAATGCATGTAGAAGAGAATTTTTTCTTCTCTGGAATAACTCACATAGCGGACGTCAGCAAATGGAGTTGACAGGATGGATGGATCGATTTTCATGACAAATAATACACCAACAAGGTCAGATGATTCCATAGTTTGACGAGCAAATTTAATGAATACTTGGCGGTGCATACTAGTTGATAAAAATTATTAAGTGATAAAAGTTAACATTTCGTTTTGACCAATTGATCACAGTCAGCTTTTGACAGTCCTTGGCCACGAAAGACAGTGAATAGTGTCATATGTGCAAGTTCAACATTTTATTCTTTATGAAGCTTGATGATGTGGTTGTAGAGATCGTGAATAAAAAAATTCCATGCTTATGATGAGATCGACGTCCATCATTTGTAATGATCGATTGAGCATTGAACACAGAAAACAATAATAGATATACCACTAAATCAGCAGATGCTCGTGTTGTTCTTGCTCGAATTTGATACCAGTGGTAACAAAACTGATCAAAATCATGTTTTGATAACACTCTTGTGTCACTCGTTAAAGGGCTTTACAGATAGGAGTAGTATCTGTAAAGACTTCATTTATGTTAGGTCAGTGTTTGGTCCATTGCTCATGCCGAGCTTGCCTCTCACAAAATATGTAAATTGTGCTGACCTTGTAATCCTTGTTGTTCTCAGGATCGACAGTATTGCCAAGCCAAACGAGCATAAGGAGGCCGTCGTGGGCTTATGCTGGTATGCTAGCGTACCATGGCAGCAGCAGTTTAATTGATAAAAAAAAAATAAAATCGCTTGATCTTATTGAGTATATTTGGATATTTTTCGGAATTTTTCCATTGTTGTTTCTGTTTTAGTACTTTTCTTTTTTCATTTCACTTGAGCGCTTCACTTCGTTTTTATCTGTCGTTGTCTCTGATGTTACAAGAAAACGAACGAATGAAAAAAAAAAATTATCGCAACATAATTTCATGCACTGTGTCACATTTCACTTTCCTTTTATGAGTTCTAGAAGTTTTTTTTCTCTTGTTGTCCTTATATTGCCGTAAATGGATTTGTATTTAGAAACCCAGTAGTGCACATTGTTGTTGGAAAATGCATGACAAATTTTTTATTTCAGTAGAGTCTTTCTGCTCAACTGAGAGTTCAGTATCATACGAAGCCGATGAAAGAATGAGTAGAAGTTTGTTATTATTGTTAAGACTTGTTGTTTTTTTAAATGAAAAATCAATCAATTCTAACATACGATACAAAAAGTTGTTTTTTTCATCCATATTTTCACACTATTCTTAATGGAAAACTAAATGACATTATCATCATTAACTTGTTTTGAAACGAGACATCACGTTTATGATATGTTTCTATGGTTACTTGATTATGCTATTCTAATGTACATCCACTTTCAAAATTAGTTCAACATTTACCTGCTTTAGAAAAGATTTGGAGCTAAAGTAACTAAAAAATTGAACTTTGTCGTATCGTCATATAAACAGTGAACATAGTCTTATGGAATTGTTTTGAATGAGAGAAGTCATTTTTTTTAAGAAGAAACTTACAGAAAAATTTGGTTGAATAACCACAGTTAGCAAAAGATGCTATACAAATGAATTCTCTTCTAATTATTTTAGCTAAAAATTTTTGTTTGGGTAATTAAAAGTCTATTATTTAATTGAGTATATATTTCTATAAACCATAATTTATAATGATAAACAATGAGAAGAATGTTGTATAGGTTTATCTTGTCACGACTTTCTTCTTACAAATACAACAAACGTCTATTTTCTTTTATAAACTTAATAGATTTCTGAAATTGTGTTTTGTTTTTGTCATAAACTAAGAGCTTGCTTGTCACTAATCGTTTTTAATGATATAGCCGAAATAATATGTTTGGTTGGCCATTGATTTAGAAATTCTTTTTATAATAATGTTTGGGTCATTTTATTCTGAATAATCTGAATGAAGTCTTGTATGAATAAGAAATATATATAGCATAATCTCAAATACTTCATTTTTTATTATACTGTTTATTCAATTTAGTTCCGTACATAATCATTATATAAAATCTATGCAAAAAAAATCAAAGAAAATTGAGTCAGAAGTCAATTTTAGTGTCTATTAAAATTGATCAGATGATTCACATATACAACGATATACTTTGTGTGGCATTAATATTTACCTATCGGATACCCGACATAATTTACGAGCAAGTCTCTTTCATTAATATACGAAAAAATTTCAGTACTTGTTGATCATACTTCATTAAATCAAAATTGATTAAAGTTCTAAATTATAAAGTATATTAAAAATTACTGTCATCTGTTGGTCATCTTTCTTATGATTCGTTTCTATCCGCCATATTGTTGACTACACCTATTCAAAGATATAATAATGAGTCAAAAAAGAAAAAAAACAAAATGATACCCATCTTTTATAGAATTCTTTTTATTACGTTATAAAAAACATTATAAGGTTAGTAAACTTTGTTTTTAGTTTTCTACATTTAGAATATTATCTTTGTTTGATAATGAAGAAATTACTTTTGATCGATTGAATTTCTTTTTTTTAAATAGATTTATATACATGCATGTTAAAACAAACTCATCGTTGCCATTCTTCTTCTTCCAAGTCTTAGATTACGCCTGTAGTTGTTGTAAATATATCAGGAAAAGGAACAAACATATGAACAATATTGTTTAAAGCTCTCGGATACCAATGAATTCCGTTTTCATTTGTCTCGTTCTTATTAATTAAACCAAATATTTGTTTAGCTTGATGAATCCAACGTAAAGGTGCCATAGCCATATGTCCTATAGAATGATGATAAATAGATGCATAGCATGATGAACTGACATTATTGACAAGTAATGTTCCATGTTGAGTAATTGGTGTTGCATAGCCATGTTTAATTTGTAAATCAATCGAACGAATACGTGATGATTCTAATTGACCATTTTTTCCGGCAATAAATAGTTTATGTTCTTTGGAATCAATATGACGAGCTTGAATATATGTTTGATTACCAATATAAAGAAGATGTTCAGGTGTTAGAGAAACTTGATGACCTGATTCAGTTGTGAAGGTGTAAAAAAGGGCTAGAAAACAAAAGAAAGCTTTTTTTTAGCTAACAACAGCTGTTTTTTTCATTAGATTTACCTGGTGAATTCTTTTCATAATGTAAAATAGCAATAATTTCTGTTGGTATAATTTGATCATTATGATTGATAGCCAATACTTTTTCACCTATTTTAAGATTTTCAATGGATATTTCATTTCCATTTGGTGTTTTCGTTGTATCATTTAAAGAAAAACATTGAGGTCTTGCTAAATAAAAAAAATATAATGAGCTATATTTGTAATTAGTAATAAGATCATGAGAAATTACTTATAAATGGACATTCTTCACTCATTTTTTCATCTTTATTTACACAACATTTTTGTGACAATTCAATTAATTCTGAAAGAGATCCACGTACGAACTACGATGAAGAAAAGTTATGTTATAGTTGAACAAAAAACAACAGATTTTTTTTTTCTTACTTCTTCACCAATACAACCTCGGGTTTTTGTTTTAACACATTCCATAAAACGTTCAGCCATTGTACAAAATACTCTAATATTTCCTTTAGTAGCTGAAACCAAACCAACAGCATCGATAGCTACACAACTGAGAATGGTTGCTGGATCAGCTGAAAAATCAAACAAATTTTAATTCAGTTTTTTGTGCCTAGAAAAAGTTCTTCTACCTTCTACAGGACAATTAGCAGTCGATGATATTATTAAATCGAACCGAGACAAGACGAATAAAGTTAAATAAAGAGCACGACGACTGCTCATCATTGTAGTTTGTAGTAAAGAATAAAATTGAATGATTGAAAAAGAAGTTGTTCTTCTTCTCTTTTATAGTTGAAGATTTAAATCATAAAAAATTCAAATCCATGTTGATCCAACTATTGTTCTATTTTATTTATGTCTTAACATATATATTCAATTGACTATCTTGAAAATATCTCGCCCACTCTTTTGTCTCGTCAAAGCTTTGTCTTTATGTATTTGATGATTATGATCATTATTATTATTCACATAATCAAGACGATTTCTTTTTTTTTTCGATTACGAATAGATAGATTTATTCATATGTCTAATCTTGTCTGTTTACATAATCGTCTTTTTTTTTTAAGATTTATTCTTTTGTTTTGTTCAACAAATAATGTTTGTCTTAGCCTCACTTGGCAGTTGGTTGCCATTTGCTATTGTTGCTTTAGTATGTATTGACAGTTTTCTTTTGTTGATATAATACACCGTTCCTTTTTTTTGTTTTTGTTCATATTGGGATTATTAGTTTATTATATTTTTTTCGATAACATTCACATTACGTTATCAACTAAAACGAAAGAGAGATTATTTGGTTACATTTGTTTGTTCGGTTTCACTAATTATTGCTTTATTGACAGCATCATTATTACCAACAGATGTTATGCTTGTATCATTTATGAAAAACCCCAATGGAACATTTAAAGTAAGGAAAAACTATATTTATTAGAATTGATCATTGAATATATATATATATTTTAAAGGAATGGACACAAAATCAAACAACTAGAGATCATATTCAAAAATATGTTGAGATCGGATATTACGGTATGTAAAAATTGTTCATCTGAAAGAATAAGTCTGACTAATTAAAAAATTCAATTTTTCTCAAAGTGATATAGGACTAAAAGAGCTATATAGACAAAGTAGATCTGGCTCAATTTTGTAAAATGTCAATGAACTTCTAAAGATTACGTTCGCTTGAGGGTCTCCCACCCCCACGTTTGTTCGCACACAAAATAATCAACAAACCCTCTGAATAAAAGACAATACATTTTCTTCACTCTTATTCTATGTCTATGAATAGTTTTATACTTATTTTAGTTTTTTCGTCGTCGATTTGTATTAAATTATTTTAGTATATATGAGTTTTTTTTATAGTTTATTTTCTTATAAATCTTTAAATTAGAAATCAAAATGTATTTAATCATCTTTAAAAAGTACAGATTGTTTTACTAGTGTGATTTTTACATGAAAACAAAAGCAGCAGAATGCTTTTGGTCGATTTTAAATCAATATACTGTCTTTTTAATGTCAAAAGAAACTCGATTCAATGGAAAGAAGAGGTCAAGTATTGTTTGTTTTTTTTTCTAGTTTTATATGGTCTTGTTATTGCAATGGCTTTTCTTGTCAATCCATTTCTTTTCTTCTATTATGAAGAAAGAGAAGAACAAGGAGAAAAAATATCCAAAGTATGAGAAAAATGAAAAAAAAGAATTTTATTTTTTTGAAAGAGCATTTCTTATTGTTTTTTTCCTCTAGAGAATTTGTGCAGCACTAAAATGGACGGCTGGATTTATAATTTTTCTTATATTTTTAATTATACTTGGGTAAATCTTGTCATTAATTTTTTTAAAAATCTTCTTTATATTATTTATTGATTATTAGAATATTTGTTCCACAATTAGCTACATTACCATCGGATAATTCAACAAGTGAATGGGAAAATATTAAATATTTAATAAATCATTTTGATAGTTCAAGTAAATAAATAAATCTATTCTTCTGATTTAATTGAGAAAAGGAAGAATATTTTAGGAGTGGAAGATTCAATATCATTTGCAATATTTACATTAAGTATTATTGGATTTTTTCTTTTAACAATTTATACAGTAAATACATCTGATTGAAAGCTTAAATAGACATAGAAAAATCTAATCTTTTCTTCAGGGTTATGGTTCAATTGCTTGTCCATTATCTTTAATTCGTGGTAAACGAAGTGCACGATTACAACAACAATCTATAGAAGAACAACGTGCAGATATTCAAAATCAAATACAAACAATAAAAACTCGAGTAAATAAATTTTTAGTTTTAATAAATAACGAACTTTTCATTTTATTAGTATCCACGTTCTGCTAAAATGCCATCTCGTGATAAACGTAGATTAGGTATATATAATTGATTATAACTATATTTCGATCCAATCATTTATTTTTTCTAGAGGATCTTGAACAAAAAGAAGCAACATTAAGTCGTAATGCAGAATCAATTAAAGTTGTACGTCGAAGTTTATTTTTTAAATGTCGCTTTATTTATCGACCTGTACAAATAATTTTTGGTGTTTTATTACTTTTATTAGCTATACTTATATTTATATCACTATTATTAAGTAATATTAATAAATGTATACATTTTGTAAGTTTTAAACAAATATTTGCACAAGGAAATAAAACATTACCAAATCCAATTGATATTATTATAACATGGACAGGAAAAGTAAGAAAAATAAACAAATAAAAGTTTTATTATTATTGTGTTTTTTTAAAGTTTTATCCAGTGAGTTATGTTGTTCTATCTCTTCTGTTGGTTTATATCATTCTAACATCACTTTATGGTTTACAACAACTTGGTATTTGGTATTTTTGGGTTCGAGTAAGTACATCATTTTTAAAAAATATTTTTTTTATTTTATTCTTGTTAAAGATGTATCGATTTTCTCGTGGGCGAACTAAACCACAAGCTATATTAATGCTTTCATCATTAATGATGTTTATTGTTGTGGCGATTAATGCTTTTGTTTATCTTCTTATACCTCAATATTCAATTTATGGTGATCAACATTACTCTGTGGTAGTAAATGTATGTAATGATTTATTAATATTAGATTGTTCTGAAAATTTAAATGCATTTGTTACGATGGAAATATGTTAAATTGGAATAGAACAAAGACTTTTCAAGTTCGATATAGATTTCGCAGATAGAACAAATATGTGAATAGAAATTTTTTAACAATATTCAAGTTCATGCGTAATATGTACCAGAGAATGTTCTTAGCTGTCAAATGATTTTTGACTCTATGTTTTGGATATGAATTGGCTGATATTTAAGGTTCCTTCGATTAGAGATCATGAAAATGGACGAAGTTAGATGTCAACATATGGAAGTTATGAGATAATAGTTTTAGACATATTGTTAGCCTCATATAGATCAATTCATAGCCAAAATATGGAATGAAACAGCATTTGATCATTGAAGAATTTTATTTGTTAGATGTCATTGCTAGAGTCTCTTAAGATTTAATCGATGCACACGGTTTAATTAGTCATAATTTAACTGCTCACATCAGAGTTAAACAGTTCCATTTCTCGTATCTATTTTTATAGAAAACTAGCTAATTTGAATTATAATTGATTCTTCGATCCATAAAGTTTGTCTAACATAGCAACTGCACCAGCTAATAAATCTCTTTTGCGATGAATCTTACCTCATTAACTAGCCTTTATTAAGATTAGGGAAACCTAAAAATGATTTGTGCTTATGAAGCTTTCTTCGTCAGTTATGATAATTCTAGTCGGTTTTTTTAACAAACTGTTGTGTATCCACTCAGATCATCTTTCAAATCGACAGTTAAGTTCAAGATTTGCACAACGAAAGTTCTCTATGAGATTAGAATAATCTATCATTTTTACACTGAACTAAACCGATTAATAATTTTTGTTGAACAACTCACTTAAATTATCATTACTATTCTGAAGGATGTTTACGCTCGTCTATAACTTCGAAAAGTTGATAAACATTAAATGACAATTTTGTTTAATCATCAAGCTTTTCTGAATTTTATGGAATTAATTCCCATTTAAAATGCAGATTTTGAGAACGATTTAAGTTAGAATAGTCTTGTTTTTGGAAATGTGAAATATAGTTTGATTTGCTTCGTATTCGAAACCACTTTATATATTTAGAACTCAACAGTGATTACTCAACCATGTACACAATATATTACAACAGGTATAATTTGTATTTACTTGATTTTATTTCTAATTTCTTTCTTGTTGTCTTTTAGATCAATGTGAAATGACCGTAATGGGTCGTATAATACTTCGATTTTTCTATAAAGTTTGGTTTTTTGGAGCTGTTTATTTTTTCCTTAGTTGGCTATTTCTTATTGTAAGTAAATTTTATTGTATACAATATCTTATTTTGTTTTATTTAGGTTTTTATCCTAAGTTGTATAGTGAAAATAGTTCGTAATCGAGAATCAAATATTCAAGAATTTACAGTTGAACGTTTCTTAGAAGATGATGATGAAAATGATCCATTAATTCAATAAGAAATTTAAAGTTTTAAACTTTACATCTATTTTTATACATTTGATTATTAAAAGAAAACATAAATCATACAAAGATTTTGTTTTCATTTTGAATTTTTTTTTAATTGTGATTTTATTATGAGAAGATAACATTTGCTTTTGTTCAATATTTTTGAAGAATTAATTGTTTTTTCAAGAATATTTTCAATTTTTGTCGTTTCTTTTTTCTTCTATTGATTTAAATATGATATGAATACCATGTTGAGAACTCGAAGATTTTTTGTGTTTCACTAAAAGAAAATTCACCAGGTCGACTTAATAATTCATCTTGATCAGTTAGATGATGTAGGATTGTATTTGAAATACGCATACACCGAAAACTGAACTGTTCTGATTCAGTTTTGAGTTCAATCATTTACAATTAATTGACAAAATAGAATAAAAGCAAGCCGAAAGAAGAGATTTTAAGGTTGGCTATGCTAAATCTTCGCACATGAAAAGAAACACAATCTGAAATTTGAAATGATACAGACATTCTTAAAGGAATAAGAAAGAGGAAGAATATCTCTAACGTTCAACAAACTCAATAGTCCGATATCTCACCATACACACTATGTAGGTATATATTAAGCATAAGAACAAGTTTGTGTCACAGCATAGTTAGCATGCTAGGGGACGATTGATTCAAGACAGCCATTGGTGGTTTGTCTAAGGTCATTTCATCACTGATAAGAATAATGTTTGAAGACAGTACTTTGTAGATACGAATCGAACAATGCAGATGTTTTCATTACCGTCCACACACCTGATGAAACGCTTGATGAGTTACCTGAATACACAACTCTATCTGCACTGGTTGAATAGTTCCCAAACCTGAGTTCGGATTCGGTGAATACCTCATAAAGTTTTATTTGAATAAAATAATGTCAAAATATATGTAAAGCTTCATCATTACTGTTAAAGATATAATTGTGAGTGATTTAATGTGCTGAAAATGAATTTTTTTTCTTATTAGATTTTGAGATATCTTCACCAATATGACGAATATCACGTAAGATATTATCATATTCAATTATATTTTTATCAAGAGTTTGAAAAAGTATTATTAATAAAGCAAGATCATCAGGTTTTAATTTAGAAAAATTTTGAATTTCATCAATATTGATACAACGAGATTTTGATATTTTCTTTTCATTTATTGATGGACGTTGTAAACCAAGAAGTTTTATATTATGATGTTTACTATTTGTTGAAGTTTTATCTCGTGTTATTTGATCAATTGCTTTACCAAGAGTCGTAGCAATAACAGCTAAGGAAAACAAAACAAATTTTATTCCTTAAGAGTGAATTTCTCGTCTCAAAATATTGATGTTTGGGGCTTTTCTTAAACACTAACATACTTTCTCTGACCATAATTATGTAAGAGTAATAGAAGAATGTGAGGTATGACAAATTATTTTTTCTTTATCGAGTAAATAATGGTGTTACTTTATCTTTACTTTATAAGATAAATATAAATACAATTTTTATATTTATAAAATAAAGAATAAAGAAAGATTGTGTTTCTATTATAGGTAAGGAGATAGATACCATGTGTAAAAAGAGGATATACTAATCAATATTTTTTCTTATTATCAGCATTACTTCAACATGTTATATTATTACAAAATAACTTTTCTGTATATTTCATTTGTATTTATGATATCATAAATTTGTATGAGCTATCTGATAAAAATTAAAAATTAGGTTCTCCTCCTACCAGTGAACAATCGCCTAAAAGAATTAATTTTTACTTTTCTTTTAAATACCTGCTAAAAGTTGTCCTACACTATATGTAACTAAGGCAGCAAATATATAAAAAGTTAATCCAATAACAGTAGTAAATTGTGGTGAATCTAATTGTAAAATTTGTTCAGCTACTTCATTAACACCTTCCAATGTAATGCACATATAATATGAATAAAGAGCTTCAGTATAATTTTCATATGGTTCATATGCACCTGATTCCCAAAACGGTGTATCACCTTGAAAAGCTATTGAAAGTAATGCAAAAACTGTCACGATAACAAATTCTAATAGTAATGTATTATAGATACTAGATAGAGCAATAAGAATTGTTTCAAGAACAAATCTTAAAATACTATGAATACGTATTAAACGAATAGCATGTAATGTACGAAAAAGTCGTTGGATGCTATTAATTTGTGGTACACCAAGATAATCAGATACGAAAAGACTGTAGATAAACTAATAAATTTTAAAAAAAGCAATGAAAGATTTTTTTTTCATGAGATAGAAATATGACTAACTGGAGAATTAACAATTACACAAATAAGATCATAAACATTCCAAATATCATAAAAAAACCAACGACAATCAATATATAATTTACAAAATACTTCTATAAATACTGCCGCTAGAATATTAAGTATTTATTAATGATTTTTATAGATGGAAAATTTTGCAAACCTTGAGTAATTTCATGTGTAAGTTCGAAAAATATTACCATTTTTGGTATTTTATGACCAATTAATAAAGAAATAAATGACCAAATAGATAAAATAAACATAATATATTCCCATAAACGTGTAGTTATTAACTGTTGAAGACGAATTTTTAATGTAGGCATGATAAATGAATAATTTTTTGCTTCACTCATTGGATCTTTTTCTTCGGGTAGAACTCGAAAAGCAAATTGACGTCGTTCAAATGGATTTGGAATATCATGACAAAATTTAGTTGACGATTCAATTAAATACATCATATGAATTTATGATTGTTTTTTTTTAAATAAATCAGATCTTGAGTGGATTTTTGTAACATAGTGCGCCATTTTTTCTCATCAAACTAATTAGTTTGTTGTTTTTTTAATCTCGTCGATAAGTTGGATGTATGGAAAAATTCATCTATCTTAATTAGCAGCGACGCCAGTGTTTTTGGCCAGAGATGAGAGTTGTGCCTTCTCACACCTCTTGTGAAATCACTGTTAGCTTTTCATTAGACCTTCAACGGAAAGTTAAAAATAGGGCGGAGGAGGGCGAATCTTTTTGCGTCATTCAGATGACAGAAAGTTAGTGTCTCTTATGTCCAACTCACATTTTAGATTGTATAATACTAGTACGGTCCAGAAAAAATTCTCAAAAAAGAACACACCAACATTTGTTTTGTTTTTTTCTTTAATTTCGACTCTCGAAGCAAGAGTTTTCGATCTATTTCACTAGAAAACAGTAATGATGAAGCAGCAGTGTTCACACAAAAAAGAATCACATGTTGAGTTTGCTCACCTCGTTGTAAATATTTCTTAGAAGTATCAGCTCAGCCACAAAAAACGAAGAAAACATTCAGTCGTTTTTCGTTTACCTAACTCGAAAATTCGGAACGATTCATCTTCACTTTTTACAAAGCAGTACTACTTCAAGTCATTGGCAATGTAGAGCTCACTATGTAGTCATACAAAATTAAATTTTTCCTTAATAATGTCTTCTAAGTCTGTTTCACAAAGAAAATATTACTATTTATCACGGAAGACGATGAAAAGTTTTGACATTTGTATAAGAATTTCGATGCAATGCATAAATCAATCAATCTGCTGAAAAGAAAAACAAATGCTTGAGCCTACACTAGCCGACGAGCCCTAAATCTAAAGTAGTCTCCATGCTTATGGCTCATTTCTCTTGTGATGTCACCACTAATCTTAATTTACATGAGATAAAATATATTAAAACGACAGAAAATCAACTAATATTGATTATATATATATATACCGATGATATGTTAAACCTTGAACAATTTTTTTATACAATCAGGAAGGATATGTCTGATGATACTTCCAATCTTATACCGAAACCGAATGGTTATTGTAGAATGAGAATATACATGTTAATAAAAAAAATCTTTTATTTTATTATACAACAATTCACATAATCAGCTCTTCCTTCTCATATAATTATTATAATTAAATGATACGAGTCAATCAAACTGATAATATTTTATTTTCACTGATCAATTTATTCTTAATAGTATTGGAAATTGATAGTTCATGTTTTATTTTATTTTTTTATGTAAAATATTTACAAAACAGATACATGTTAATGATGATGTTTTTTACTCTAGAAAAAATAAATTATTAATTTATCAATAAAATAAATCAAACCTTTTTATGATGTTTTTTCTTTTTCTTATGTTTTTTCTTATGTTTTAATTCTTCATATTGTGCACTTGTATTTGCTAATTTTGTCCATACTAGAAAAAGAACACAATCACAAAGTATATAAATGTAAACAGCTTACTTGACTTATCATTATCTGTCTTGGTACGAGACGGAAGATTACTAGGAACAGCTGGTCCATAAACAAGAGATGATTTATCTAATAGTTTATAAAGCAAAAGGAAAATAGACAAAAGAAAGAGTAATCTTTGTATTTTACCTGAAATTTCAATTTCTTCAATACTAGAATCGGAACTATCTGAATGATCACTTTCACGACTTTGATATGTGATTGAGGATGCTAATGGCATTGTGATAGGGGGCTTGGATACGATAGAATTTTGTAGATTAATTGATTTTGGTATATTATCATTCTTTTTTTCTTCTGTTTCTTGTTCATCAGTATCCTCGTCATCAGAAGGTTGATTGTCGAAAATTGCTGAAAACAAATCCAATGGAGGACGTTCTTGATTTTCCTGAAAAAAATGGAGTTCAAAAATAAATTATTAAAAAAAAGCTATTTAAATAATTTACTTGTTCAAACGATTCAATTGGAGCAAATTCTGATTTAGGTACTGAAGAAGGTTGTACTTGTGGAATAGCTGGTGTGATTGTTGATGATGGTTTACTTGTTTCATTTGAATTCGATATTAATGATGATGATGATGCTGGTGGTGGCGGCGGTGTTATAATTGAAGAAGATTGCTCAGAAGATGTTGATGATTCTGTAGATGATGATGTAAAGAGATGTTCAAAAAGATTCGAACATAATTGTCGTCGAGATTTTTTCGATTCTTTTGAATCATCATAGGCATCACTAAAACGATTTATTACGATAATATTGATTGTTTTTTTGGAATAGATAAACTTACTCTGGATATGGATTAGGAAAATTCATACGTTTACATAAGAGTGGATTTGGTTTCCAATCAGATATAGATCGAGTTAAGCCACCATAAAGATTCATTGAAACAGCTTTTTTTAAATCACTCTACAATATTCATAATATAATTAGTAATTAAAACAAAAGATTGTTTTACTTCAAGAGCAACTTCGAATGATTGACGTTCAGTCATTTGTACAAGATCAGATGATGATGTAAATCGATTTTTAATAGCATCAAGAAATTGTGTTCGAGCATTGTTTGTTGATGTAGGAGTTGCATGTGATGAACGTTCTTTTTCAACATCCCACTCAAGTGATGGTGTTGGAACTGTTGTTGGTTTTACTGGTGTAACTTCTACTTTCGGTGAAGGTGGTACACTTACATTTGGTGGTGGACGAGAAAGAAATGAAAGATCACCAAGAAGAAGACCACGGGTATTAGCATCATGTTTAATCGATGGTGGTTTCGGTGGTTCATTTATTGATGTTTCATTGGTAGAAACTGCTGGATGAGGAGAAGGTGGTGGTGGTGGTGGCATTGCTGATTTAGGAAAACGATGTCCAATACGAAAATCTATTGGTATTATGGGTGGTGGATAAACAACAGGCATTGACATAGATTCATAACGAGCAAATTTCAATACAAAATTATTTTCTTGTGTCTTTTGTCGCATAATATCATTAGTATTATCATTAGCTGTTGTTAATTCATAATCATATTGTTTAAGATCATCTGCAGCAAATAAGTCTTTATCATCTTCATCTTCTTCAATACCAACACCAAATGCCTTGAAAAAGAAAAATATTTTCGTCAAACAAATAAAATAATAATAATAATAATAAATCGACTTACTTGACCACGAATTTTAACATTACTAATTTGTTTTTCAATTGATGGTTGAACAAATAAATTAGTCTGACCAAATAAATTTAATGATTCAAGTCCTTTATAACCAAGACCATGATTTTCACGTTTTTGTAATTGAAAATGTACTTCATAATCTAATGGAGGTAAATTAACATTAGCATACTAAACAAAACAAAAATAACAAATTATTGAATATATTGAAAGAAAAAGATCTCTTACAAGTTGATCATCAAAATCATCATCATCATCATTATCATCATCTAAACGTGATGTTTTCATAATTATTTGTTGAAAAGATGGTGGTGGCATTGCTACACCATAAATTTTAACACTAGGTATTTGTTCTTGTTGTTGTTCTGATTTTGGAGGTGATGGAGGAAGATTTTTTCGTGTTTCTTGTGTTAAAGACCACTTTAATTTTTGTCGATGTTTTCGAGACATTTTAACACCAACACCTTCTCCTGGTTTCCAACCCATACTCATGAGTATTTTTTTACCAATAGATAATCTATATAAATTTGAATTAAAAAAATTTCTAGAAAAAAGAAAGATACAACTTACGTTTTGACTCGAATCATATCGCGTAATATATCTTCATTATTACGTTGATTTGATGTTCCAGGTTGTTGTTTATTTACGCTACGTGTCACAGATTCATTTTGATCAAATATATTTCGAATTTTAATTTGTTTTGGATTAATACCATGTTCACTAAAATCCTATAATTAATAAAAAGAAAGATTTTTGTATCATTTTATTCATCCTATAATACTTACTCCTTTATCCATAAAATCTTCTGGTTCATAACTACGTTTTTCAGCTCGTGCTGTTCGAGATGATATAAATTCACTTGGTCGCCAACCTATAAATATAAAATTATCGATCATTTATCTTAAACTATATTTATCAAACCTTCAATTGATCCAACTGTATTATAAAAGCCAGCATTAAAACCACCAGTAAATGCACCATGAAAACGTTTTCCATCATAACCATAATTTGATGAAGAAAGATCAACAAGTTTCGATGCTTTCCTACCTGAGGAAAAAAAGACGTCTTTAATTACTTCAATCGAATATCTTTTTTTAACGTACCTAATGTAGCTAAAATTGATGTACTATTAGTTGGTTCAGCCGGATCAAAATGAGTACCAATGGTAACAAAATTTTCATTATTTTCATTATCATCATTTCTACTGCCGAATCCCGCATATCGGGAACTCATAATGATAAGAAAATGAAATCTAAAATAAATATTGACAAAAACGCAAACAAATATTCGAATTTTGATCAATAATATAAAATAAAACAAATTCTTCTCGTTTTTCATTTAACAAATTTTTTATTAAAAAAAATTAAAATATAGATAATTACAATAAAAGAATTTTGCTAAATATGTTTCATGTTTTTAATCCATAAATTGTTGAACCAAAAAACTTTTATCTGAAAAATCAAAAATGGAAGTACTCTTGAAACTATCGATTATCAATAAATAGAAAATATAATTATACACACACACACACACAACAAATTGCTTCATCCGAACATAAAATAAAAATTACTAATATGAAAGACAATCATTAAGAAAAGATTAAAATAAAAGTATTCGATCGATGCCATTAGTTTCTATGCGTTAGAATTTATACATAAAATGCATTGCTTCAGCTACTCGGCAACGTACATCAGGATTTGAATCTTTTAATAGAACAAGAAATGCTACGAAAAAGAAAAGAAAGCAGAGCATTAGTTAGTTTTTTATCGATTTGAAATTTTAAAAAAATCTAAAACTATTTACCGTTTAAAATATGTTCTTTGGATAGATTATTAATTTGTTCTTCAGTTAAGTTAAATATTAAATGACCAGCTACAATTGCTGCATTAGCACGTAATTCTGGTACAGGATTTTTAAAAAAGATTATACAGTTCATAATAAAAAAATTCACTTTATAAGGATATTGTTGAACTAAAATTTTGGCAAAATCACTTATGAATTCTGTATATTGAAGAGTGATTTTTGGTTGAAGAGTTTCTTTAAATAATTCTATTAATGTTGGTTGATCAAGTAATGGTGCAATAGATTGAAAACATGTTTTACAACTTTCACGTACTGTGTCAACCGGATCATTTAAATGAAGTGTTAATGTTATTAAAGATGAAAATATTTGTTCAACAAATGCTTCACGTGAATTTCCTTCACACACCGAAGCCATTTTTCCAAATAATGTAAATGCTGCTGAACGTACTTTTGCTTCATCCTATATATTACGAAAAAATAAGTAGGTATATACGCATATAAAATCAAATCATCTTTTTCTTTTAAATATTCATACTTTTTCAAAACAAGGCCGAATACGGAGGAGAACGTTCATAAGAATAGGTCGTACTTCATCTTCATTCATAACAGCAATTACATTTGATAATGAACACATGGCTTCAAGTGTAAGAAGATCATTTTTATCATCACGATCATCCAAACCAGAAACTGAAAAGAAATAAAAATTAAGCTTGTATTTCTTAGTGAAAATGTAATCTATATATATGAAGTCTTACTTAATGATGCAAGAATAGTGGTTGGTAAACCTTTATCTTCTTGACTATCACGAACTGGTCGCCACCAACCAAGACCACGTAAACAAAATTTTCTTACATAAATATTATGATCCACTAAACGTCCCAATAGATAACGAATAAGTTCACGAACAAAACGTTGATCTTCACTATCATCAGGATTACATCGTATAAGTTCGGCAAAAAATGCTGATACACATACACGTTGAATATCATAAGGACCATCAAGTACTTGTCCGAGTAATTCAATAATAACATTTAATTGTTTTTGATTTATATGATTACAACGTGCTAGACCTTGAGCAAGTACTTCAAGAGCTGAATCAGCTGTATCAAATTTATTCATCTTTTCCCAAGGCATGACATTATTAATTTCTGATTGACATTTATAAACTTTTAGAAAATGCATCATACAATCATTCGATAAACGCCATGGTTCAATTTTTTTTAATTCATTATTCGAAGGTCCAGCATTGATTTGTTGTTCAGAAACAGATGGTGTTTTCGATGAAGTACGAGGTGATTTTGAATCAAATATACTAAGACGTGATGATTTTTTTGTGCTACTTGTATTTGCAGCTGTTGCACTAGACAGAGAAACACTACTGGCATTACTTGCTGTTGAATCACGTCGAGAACTACCATTTGGTGGTGCAATACGACGCAATGGTGGTACACTTTGTGGTGGTAATGTATCAACATGTGAAGCCATACGTATGAAAAGGGCCACGAACAAACGTGGAAAAGCATATTCACCTAGATCACACATACGATCTGATTGAAACCATTGATTGAGCAAATATAGTGCCATAAGTGGTTGAGCAGTAGCATGTCGTTGTGAGCTTTTTTCTTCATAGGGTAATGAACGTGACCAACATTCCATTATTTGCGCTAGAACAGCTTCAGTTAACGGTCGATTATCGGCAAGATCATGAATAATGGTCACAAGATTTCTAGAAAGTAAACAGACAATCAAGGCAGCATTATTTTTCAAAATAATTTACTTGGTGAATGGTACACCAAAATTCATCAATGTACTAAATACACGAGTTGAACATGACAAGCTAAGTTGTTTGAAGGCACCTCGTAACGCTCGTAAGACATCTTCATTGGTAATTTGATTATATTTATTAAGCATAATACTGAATATGTAATCGATCTGAATAAAAAATAAGAACAAAATGATTACTAGTAAAATTGTGAAAGATAAAGAATAACTCATTACTTGATCAGCTAATTCACTATGTCGACAATCAAATATTTTACAAAGAACATTGCATACCACGACTGAACCAACTGCTCGTGTGTCAGCAACAATTTCAGTAGCTTTTTCGATAAACGATAAAAGACAACGTGGTTCAATATTACCCGATAAACTCTATGCAAATATAAAGAAAGAGCATGTATTGTAATTATCAATATTCAAATTGATCTCATTGAGGTAAAAAGCGAAGTTTGAATGCAAGTGGTTTATACTAAAATATATTCTGCTGGGGTTAGTCATATTAATACATCCTTAGCAATTGATTATTAACTAAAGAAGTCAAGCTAAGAGAAATAGATGCAATCGAAGGGGAAGAATTCATAAGGGTAAAAATGAAATAGATGATGAAACGGTACCTGATCGTGCTCTTCAACAGGTCTAGTGAGATTATAGCACTGTTCATAGATTGTTTTTAAATAGATATAACCATTTCTAATGAGAATAATATACTCACTTGTATGGTATCATCATTGACTGGCTTTTCTTGTTCAGCAGCACTCTGGTCACCTTTTAAATTTTCCATGACACCTTCAATAAATAAACAATGAATCTTATGAATATCATTAGTCAAAAAGTCACCGGTTGCAAGTTGCATTTGAAGATGTAATAGTCTAGTAAGGCTTGCGTTTGTTGCTAATTCAACCGATTCTTCGGTATCCGTTAAATACATAAGACAAAGAGCCATAATACCCCCAACATCTATCAGATTCTGTTTTCATAATCAATAAAATGAATTTTTGTCAAATATTCTTTATAATACCTGTTCTTTCAGTTTATTCATTGGATCCGATTGAATAAGTTGATTTAGAATATCAAAAGTCCGGGCACGTTCATAAACATGAAGTGATAGACAAAAAGGCTCAAGAAGCTAAATAAGAGAGAGAGAAAGAGCGAATAATTTTTTTTCCAAATATAAAATATTTCGTTTCATTTTCTAAAATAATCATTCCTGATTTTGATATTATATAAATAATTTCATCAAGAAAATAATGTAGTTTTTTTTTTCATAGGATAAGAAAAAAATTGCAAATCTTTGTTGTTTCTCTTACGTTAATAAGGCTAGGAAATGTTCCAGGTGAATCGCCTAAATTAAGCAATTCAATAATGAGTGCACCAAGTGATGTAGAAATTTCATCTTTTTGACTAGATGAAAGTTCCTAAATTACAAAACATCTTATTATCATAATAAAACAAAATCTCAAAAACACTTGCAAGTTTCGTCGAACAGTACCAATGTAACGTAGCACGAGCTAATTGATATTTCTCAGGAAGCGTTGGTTCTGGTTGAAGAATACTAAAATAATAAATTAAGTAAATGATTATTGTCAAGTAATTTATTTTTTTTATTTTCTTTCTTTCTTTACATAAGTGCATGACATGCTCGAACACATTGATTAAATGTTGCTGGTTGTAATTTAACATTTGTTTCTTGTGTTATATAATTAATCATTTCTTGTATAAGATCATTTCGTGATGCAAAAACAAAATCAGTCTTCAAATGATTTGTATTCATTGATTGTGCAAGAATAACAAATGATTTTGCAACAATTAATTTTCCTGTTTCTTCTTTAATTGTTCGAGCTATTTTAACAGCATTGATCAGTATACTTGTTTCCATACGAGAAATAATTAAATCAAGTGTTGCAAAGATTGAAACATAAGCATAAGCTAAAAGAGTTGTTGCACGTGATAAATCAGAATGTGTATCAGTTTTTGAACTAAGAAAACCAAAAAGTCCACTACTTCCACTTGATGTTGAAGCTGAACTTTTTGAATCACCAATTTTTAAATACAAGTCAACTCGTTGTAAGACAATATCAAGATGTGTTGTTGAACAAAAACCAAACATTGTTGCCCAACCATTTCGTTCATGTTCATGTTGAAAATTAATAACTGTCATCATAGATTCAAGTGTACGACTAACGAATTCATTTATTTTTGATTTACGTAATACAATACCAATACATTTATAAGCAAAACCACGCTCACGTTCTAATTTTATATATAAAGGTAATTGTTTAACAAAACAAGCGCCTATATCACTAATCCAATCTTCACGTTCAACAACATCAAGCGTTTTGGAAAGTAACTAAATAAAAACCATTTTTTTTTTGTTTAATGTTCATAAAAATAAAACAAAATATATGAATACTTTAAGTATAAGATCTTGCCAGTTTGCTGAATCAAATTTTTTATGTTCATCATCATCATTTAAATTTTGAAGTAAACGTGGAATAACTTTTCCCCATAGTTCTTTTAATTCAGTTTTAAGTTCTGTTACAGCTATACGAAGAAAATTAAGTATTGATATACCACGTGTTTCTTCAACTAATGGTTCACCCAAAAGAACCTAGTCAGAAAAACGAGATAACTATTTTACAGAGAGAAAGAAAAAAAGCAGAACAAACAAAAAATATATCGTTAAACATACAAAACATCGTGTAATAATTTCATTTGGTTTCGGTAAATTAACTAAAAGTTCAAAATCAACCCAAAATGTATCTTTTTTTGCTGTTATTTGTTGTTGACCAGATTGTGCTAATGCTTTAGTTATAATTCCAAATGCACCGGTATACATTTCCGGTACGAGAAATTCCATTAATAACGGCCATAAAACCTTTAATAGAAAAGAAAACAAAATATTCTTTATGAAAAATTTCGATAAATTTCAAATTTTTTACTTCATCCATTCCTTCAATAGTCGAACTAAAAGCATTTAAAATATTTCGACACATTATTCGAACATCAGCATTAGGTGTTGTTGTTGCTGCTGAATCTGTTTTATTATCTTCATTTGCCGTTAGAGGATATGTACAGTTTCGAACAATATATTCAATTAAAAATGTTCGTCCTTCTAATTGTAAATAACCATGACAAGCCATCGCTACAATTAATTGTGATAAATATTTTGTAATCTAAATAAAATCATATGCAAAAAAAAGCTTTAAAAACTAAAAAGAGCAGCATACTTTTAATGTTGCTGTATTTAATGTTGGTCTTAAACTTGATACAAGTAATGATTTATAATCAAATGGTGTTGATGGTGCATCATTACCAAATGCATAAACTAGATGACGATAAATAACAAGAAGTACAATACGTACTTTATCATTAGTACCAGCTTGATCCATACGTTGTAATAACCAAGGCCATATCGTTTGTGGTGCATGTTTACCTAAAATAAAATTTTAAAAAAATTCTATTTGTAATTCATTTTTTTCTCTCACCTAGTATTGATAACGTTCGTAGTAGTTCATTTTGATTTTTAACAGCATGTTCATTACCATTTTCAAATGCTTCATAATTAATTTGAATCTATAAAAGAAAAAGAATTATTTAATTCAAATAAATTAAATTATTTTGACTTTACTTCATTTAAAACTTCTCTTAAAATAATATCCATTGCCTGTTTTAACTGTGGTACATTCCATTGATGAGCCAATAATACAACAGAATTTAATGTTTCACTAACATATAAATGATCAACAGTTTTTCGATAAAATCCAAGAACATTTTGTAATAAACGTGGATATTGTTCAGTAAATTTTGATGAAGAAAATAAATAAACAAGACGACCAATAGCTTGTACACATATGTTTCGAACCTTTCAATTTAGAAAAACAAAAAAAGTATTTGAATAAAAAACTTTTCTTTTCTTATACTTTAAGTTCTTTTGATCCAATCCAAGCTGATGTAAGAAAAACTTCATATGCAGCAAATGCATCATTTTCAAATTGTTGTGGAGCAAATGTTGCACGTGCTGTTTCTTCACCATTAGCTTGAAAATCAATTAAAGCCAAACAAAATTTATAAAGTACTGCTGTATAAACCCAACGATAATTTTCTTGTTTAACCATGCCCATCATTGGTAATATACGACTAAACATTGGACGTAACTGATGAACCATACCACGCGCTAAATGAATAGGAAAATAAAATCTAATCTATTGTGAGAACATTTTAGCACCAAATATTCGCTCATTTTTTCGAGCTCTAAAAGGCAAGTGGTTAGAGTTAGAAGCAGTTAGTTAGAATCAGACTTTTCTCCTCTTTCCGAATATTATATGTTCAGATTTTTCTTCTCGAGTATGTCTGAATAATTATCAGTAAATTTTGTGACAAAAGCCAAAACCGTCTGAACAAAGCATAATAACGGTTTTGACGCAGTTCTTAGTTTGTGTCTTGAAACAGCTTTAACTTAACATTATTGTAGAGCACTGAATTCTGTACAAAATGAGATGTTACAATAAGTGAAGTCTCATCTATTTGTTTCAACTACAGAGCTAGTTTCTATGGAAATCAATTTTGGTGAAAAAAAATCATTGTTTCAAAAACTGTTTTTAAAAATACAAAAGTTTAAAAATTTGTCAAGCAAAAGTAAATAACATGCTTTATAGAATAAACTTTGCTGTACAAAATGAACCCGTTAAAATTGTCTCACATTTTGAATGTGATAAGTTCCAATCGAAATATAAAATTGACTAAACAAATATTCCATACAAGCATTATATTGGACTTTTTGAAACAATCTGATGATAGATGTCTTCAAGCGACTGAAAAAGAGACGAATATTTGGTGTCAAGACTTTCGTACTATAAACTATATTTATTTTATAAACGAAATGTTCTTACGATTAGCTTCAGCAAGACTACCAACTGTTTGTAGAACAAAAAATTGCGGTAATTGACCAGCCTGCATATGTGGTAAAAGAGCTGTACAAACAAGATCCGGTTCACATTTGCCAATTTCAACTAAGACATCTGAAGCAGCTTGTTGCCATAAGGGAATTAAGTCCTGTGTTAAATATGACGATTGTAAAAACAAAAAGAAAAATATTCAGGAAGCATAGAAACAAACTTTTGGCATTGTTAATTCATTGACAGCAACACGAGTAAGTGATTGAAATGTATCAATATCAAATAGTGTTTCTCCTTCTTTTTCTTGATGATAATTAAGAATACGTTGAATAACACGTAAGATAGCTGCTCGATGTGATTCAGGTAATTTTTGATGTTTATCAAGATAATTCGTACATAGTTTTACTGTTGGTAGAGGCAATTTTTTACCAGTATCAACTATTGATTGAGCAACATAGTCACGTACTTTCTCATTCTTATCCGAAAGTGTATCGATCAGAGCAATAGTCAATGCTAAAGAAATGAAAAACAATAATTATTTAATATATTGTTTCTTTGTCTTTTTCTTTTTCTGATTAATTTATGAGCTTTTAGGCACACACGTGATACATAGCCGATTCTTACTTTCTACAGAATTTTGTGAGTCCATTATACCAATCGAGAATATTATCTATAAATAGGTTCGAAATGTTTTCTGAGTTAAATTTTTCTTTTCCATGTATATACATAGAAAATAGCAAAGAGTTTTTTTTTCTCGTTGAAACTACACAAAAAAAAAAAAATGAAACGTATGAGAAAAAGAAAAGAACCCAAAAAGAAAAGAAAAATAACCAATGTCTGGAATACGCACAATAACAACAAATATATATATATATGTATATATAGAATATATATGAAATGAATGTTTTCTATAGGCGAATTCACCACATAATACAACGCAATGCTGCTAAAACAAAAGAGAAAAAAAGAAACCGAAAATTGTAACACGTTGTAACGATCAATGACCAGAAAGTGCGAGAGTATATGAAAGACGAGACAACGTGTTTTTTGTTTTTAAAGTTCGAAATAACTACTATTATTGTTCAATTGTGGTCGATTCATTTGTTATATTATTCATATTTGTCAAAAATGTTTGTAAAATTTGTAATGCATCCATAATAGCTTTACGTTTTGGATCATTATTTGTTATATCAATTGTTAAATTATTATCATCTAAACGTCGTTTTTTTATTGGATTACTTTCATCATCAACAATTGTTGTTGTTGTTGTTATGGTTGTTTCACTTTCTTGTTGTTGTAATTGTTGTTGTTCATCATCAATTAATAGTGGTAATTGTAAATGTTGTTCAATAAATCGTATACTCTGTTCAATTATATTTTGTATTTTACTTTTATCATTAGTTAATTGACAATGTAAATATATTTCTAATGCTTTAATATCACCAATAATTTGCATATGAGAATAATTAATTGATTTAGATAATTTTTTATATGATTGTAACCAATCTAAATTTGTTTGGGATTCATTATATATTGATTGTAAACAATGTTCACATGTTTTATTTAATAATTGTTCAAGACGTTGTATGAACGCATGTATAGAATCATTTGATGTTGTTGTTGTTGTTGTTATTGTTGTTGTTGTTGTTGTTGCTGCTGCTGTTGCTGTTGTTGCTGCTGCTGTTGTTGTTGTTGATAAAGTTTTTTTCATATTTAATATCATTGGTAAATATGTATAAAGAAATGAATAATTATCTATTTGATATAATGATATACGTTCATCAATTAAAACAATTTCAATAAAATGATGAAAATAATATGATGATGATGTTTGTAATAAATCATGTATTAAAGTTTGTGCACTTGTTTTTGATTGATTGGAAATTTCAAGACATAATTTAGCAAATAAATGTAAATGCATACTTTGTACACCTTCACAAGCAACAAGTGTTACAAGATTTAATATGGAACCACTGAGAGAATTTTGATTATAAGCATATCGTGCTAAAGAATCAATAAATGTATGATAAGGTGAATAATAAGCATGAACAGCACGATCAAAATCTAAATTATGAAGATTTCTTTTTTAACTGAAGATAGGAAAATAACAAAAACTAACCTAAATCACGACCTTTTGATGTTTCAAGTAATTGAGTTTTAAAATACATGCCAAAATGTGGTCGAAATGGAGTATGAACTGGTTGATTACCAACTCGATCGATTGTTCCTGAAAGAATATTTAAGAAGTCAAGAGAATGTATTAAATGCATTTTTTAGACAATAGAAGATCAAAGATCTAAGTATTTCAAGGAGTCGTCTATTGTATAAGAATTATTCTCATAATTTTTAAGAGCCTTTTTGGACAGACAAAAAATCAAAACGAATTTTAGGTTTTCAGCTGAAAAACGTAGAAACTATGCATATTTTGATGCAAATATACTAACAAAAGTTTCAATTTTGCAAGAAATTAATTAATTAACGAGAGTCTTTTATTGCAGCGAAAGGTTTACATCATTTGGATATTAAGTCGGTATGGTTAGGTATAGGATTGCACAAAATCCAATTCTTTGCTTTGACCAGAATTGAAATGTGATTTGACTGGATTTGGTGCATCGGTATTTGAGTAGCTACGTTGTTTAACATGTATTCACAAGGTACTATGTGCAAACCTCAGTACTATCAACCATGAAATGACTCTGGACAACTCACTAACAGCTATTTGTCTCGAATCACAAGTTTGATAGCATGCTGACTATATTGTGACATACAACACTAGCTCTTGTGGTTAGTTGGTGTGAATAGGAAGGATAAGCAATTGAGCACAAGAACTCTAGGTTAGGGTGATCTTCTATCCAGAGCTACGACTAATTTTAGTTGTACGAAAGATATTGGGTTATTGAATTCCCTGTAAGGTAAAAGAAAGGTAGGAGTATTCCTTTATCCATTTAGAAAATTTCTATTAAGAATAGCAAAAATGTTTTCAAGTATCTAAATATAAATTTTCAATGTATTTATAAAGAAAATTCGAGATTTTATTTTGTTTTCTGTACACTCTTCTATGTATAGTCTCATCCATAAGGATAATAATAATTAACTTTCTCGATGAAGATAAATATATAGTTTTATTGTCGATTTCTCTTTAATAAATTTTCTTATCATATTCATAATGATTCACTAAATTCGACATCGAACATTTCAAATTATTATTTTCTCTATCGAACACATGAGAATATTCTTTTATCTCTTATAGAAACACAATGTAAATTACAGAATTAGTTGATTTAATTATACGTTAGTCGAATAAATTCGTTAAGCATATTCATGTGACATTTATATTATACACTTATGAAGGAGTTAGTCACCTTGAACAAGACATTCACCGAAAACTCAAAGTACAGAATTTCGATCTATAATTTTTTCTAAATGAAGACTTTATAACTCTTGTAGCAACCTAAACGTCACAAACAAAAGAAATACTTCTTTCTTGAGATAGTGAGTTTTCAAGAAAGGGTCCATTTTCATGGCATGTGGTGTCATGAGGAAGACTCAATACCTTGAAATACGAGCAATTGACATGGATTGTGACATTTAGTTCACTACAAGCATCATAAGATAAAGAGTGTCCCATAATAACTGATGATAAATTGTTTTTGATATTTTCTACACTTTTTGTTGAGCTAGAGAGCTGAAATTGTTACCACATATGTATCTAATGAAGATCTTTTATTTCTGAAAGTTTCAGCTCTCTAGCTAAAACTGGTGATGAAATGCATCGAGAAGAGTGAAATACATAAATTTTCGAAAATGATTTTTCAATATTTTTTACAGCGAAAATATTGCAAGGTAGTTTCGTGGACAGTCAACCAAAGAATCACAAAGTATTCAGAAAATTTTCTTTCGTATCCAACTTTGTAGAACGTTTTTCGCTCATCATTTTGGTGAAAAAAATTTTGAATTTTATTGAGAAATAATGATGTTATAGACAAAATACTAAACACTATCAAATGTAAGTAAAAGTCGATTCACATATCTCAAAATGGCTATATTCTGGAAAAATCTGACATCTTCTGTTTTTACGATAAATATTTTTGCCTATAATATCGTCATTTCTCAGTGAAATTCGAAAAGTTTTTTTACTACAATGATCAGCGAAAAATGCTCCACAAAGTGGAATGCGAAAGAAAATTTTCTGAATACTTTGTGATTTTTTAGTTCACTACCCACGGAGCTACCCCGTAATATTCAGTACGAAAATTTATGTATTTCAATCTTCTCGATGCATTTCACCACTAGCTTTGATTTGAGAGCTGAAACTTTCAGAAATGGAAGATCATGATTAGATGTATACGTGATAAACATTTCAGCTCTCTAGATCAACAAAAAGTGTAAATAATATCAAAAACAATTTATCATCAGTTATTATGGGACACCCTTTATACATGTGAGGAAAACTTCCAACTGAAAATCTGTACAGAACCTACTTATTGTAACAATATCAACATAAAAGCTCTGGAATACTTGTGGCAGTTCATTTACAAATAAATTCGTAGTTATGAAAAGTATTGTTCATGATAATTACAATATCAGATTAATCAATAAATCAAAAAAAAGTCTATCCTCTAATGTTTTCACTTAAATAGCTATTCATTAAAATTACCTTGTTGTTGTTGTTGTTGTTGTTGTGAATTATTTATTGGTTGTTTTCTTCGAGGAAAATCTTGAAAAACAAAAATATATTCTCAATTTTTCAGAAGTTTTTTTTTTTAATTTAATTTTGATCTTACATGGTCCAAGTTGTGGATGTGATTGTGCAGCTGCTTGTTCATGTGTTGTTTTAACATGTAAAGCTACATGTGTTAAATCTTGTATAGTTAATTGTACAATAATTTTCTTTAATAATTCAACAGCACGTTGTCGTATTTCACTTGAATTATATGAATTAAGTAATAAAAGTAATTTTCCGACTAATTCCATTTTTTCTTTCCATTGTGTACCAACAATATTACGCATATTTATTGTTGAATTAGTTTGTGGTTTTTTAATATTTATATCAGCTGTATCAAGTAAATTAGCAATTAAACATAATAAATAAATTAGATCATTTTGTATAGTTAATATTTGTGTTTGTGTTTGATCATGATATAATGAAAATATCGTAAAAAATATTGTTGTTAATACAGGTAAACCACGACGATTTAATATTTGTAAACGTTCATCATGTGATGCTTGTAAATCACACATATCACGTGTTAAATCAAGTATAATTGTCCATGATGAACGTATATCATTAAAACGATAAATTAATATATATAAATCTTTTTTAAATTCTTGAATTATTTGTTGATCTTCATTTGAAAGATTATCACGATTTGTATGTGATATTATTTTACATATTGATGATAATTGTTCACAGGCATCAGGATATAATTGTACATATGGTAAAACATTTTTTAATGCCCATGACATATTTTTATGTAAGGCTAATTCTTTACAATATGACCATGAATATTGACAAAATTGTTTTAATATATTATAATAAATAAATAAAAATAAACGATTATATAATATTAATTCTTGATCTTCATGATCAACTATAATTAAACACATTGGTAATTGTTGTTTAAAATCATGTTCATAATTTAATATATTGGTTAAAAAGATTTTTTCTGTTAATAATTGTTGTAATAAAATAAATATTAATAATTTATTACCATTATTTATTGTATGATCTTCAGTTAATTTTGGATGTGATATTAATGAACATAATGAATGTAAATAATCATTTTCAGATAATAAACATTTTTCAGATGCATAACGTGTAAAATGTATTAATATAGATAAATATTGTACAAGACGTTGTTGATTATCATTCATATGTAATTCACTTTGATCATGACCAATTTCAATAAGAAGTTCAAGAAGATATTTTAATAATGTTCGTAGAATAGGATATGTATCTGTTGTAAAATCTGATGGATATTGTGCAAATTGTTGATGATCGAATAGAGAAGAAAATGATGTTGTATTCGAAACAGTTGATATCTGATTATGAAAAAGAAAATATTCAAATTAGATATTAAATTAAAAGCTTATTATAAGAGAATATTTTCAGATGTTGATTAACTTTTCAGTCAAGATTTAGTACATCTTTTAGATCTTTGTATAGTACAAAAATGAATTTGTGATTATGATCTGTTTCTGAAAAGATTGAATGTTTTTTTTTGGTCAATTTTTGCTGTTATTTTGCATAAAAATAACTTAAGAACTAAGTATATCATGTAGATTATCAATGAGTTATGAATATCCTCAAAAGTCTTCGAGCTATTCACATACTATTGCAGTCATATGACATTTTTATAGTATTTTTTCAAGTCATGCCGTAGTCTTTCTAAGGAACACTAATTCTCGAATTGTAATTTTTCATAGATACAGGTGTTGATAAGAATAGTTTATTGTGAAAGTTTTAAATCTTTTCATTTGCTCCTATCCTAAAATAAGAACATCAAATCTGTTGGTATATACGAGCGATATAAAGCATTCAGTTTTATCATAGTTGTATCTTTGGATAGGAATAAGTCAAAAGATCTGAAAGTTGCACAATATACGAAGAGCCTGAACATTTTTAAGGATATTAATAGAACCATTCGGATCGACATGATACATGTAGTCTTAATTCAAAAGTGATTAATCAATTGGGAGACTTCTCTCGTAAGCGCTAGGTAGATGACGCGATAGATAGTTAAGTTGCAATTATGAAACAATTGTTTTTAAGAAAAAAATGAATCTGAATAAAATTTTTAAAAGTTTTGCAAGATTTAGATATGTAAATTTTTCTATTGAAATTGAAAACATCTAACATATTCGTATTCTACCAAAAATGGTTTCTATTTCTGAAGAATAATTTTTTATTCTCAACAAATTCATTTATTTCATTCAACTGGCAAAAAAAAAAACAATAATTTCTGAAATCTCTTAATTCGAAATAGACATTATTTTCTATTCAGAATAAATTTAGAATAAATCAATACTTTAAATCTATTCTTATTGTCGTATTTTACTTGTTGATTAAATGTTAATAATGATGTTATGGTTCCATGTGTTGTTGTTGTTGTCGTTGTTTGTGCTGCTGATGCTAATTGTTGTTTAGATAAATTTAAAAAATATTTTCCTGTCCGATATGTTTGTCGAAATATCGGTGATGGTACAAGTGCAACCATTAATTGTGCTATTAATGTACGTACTTTAGTATATGTATTATATAATAAATATGGTTTTAACCATTGCCGTATATTACTATATATCCATCGATGTATAATTGATGATTTATTAACAATATTATTAAACCATTCAAATACTTGTGTTGGACATATATCAATTAATTTTCCAATACGTATAACAATTAATGATGCAAAATCACACCAATTTTTATCAGGACTCATTGTCAATGATATTTGTTGTTGTTGTTGTTGATCATTTGTATTATCATTAGTTATATTATTTGGATTTTGTTCAATTAAATAAGTTAAAACTTTAAATAATGCTTGTATACTATTCATATCATTTTTATAATTTGTTATCCATTGTGATAAAAGATTCACTATTTTATTAGCATATACATCATTTTTATAACATATTAATTGTATAATATGTGCTGTGGCTTTTAAATTAATATTATCAAGAATTTGTTGTTGTATAAAAGCAAAATCATTTTCAATAAATAAATGTAAATCAAAATTTTCAAGATTTGAACGTGTACGTTCAGTTTCTAATAATAAGGCTATTAATGGAAACATTTTTTCAAATATACCTGGACGATTTAAATTATTATTTGTTGGTAAACGTATTGTATTTAATGGTATTATATCATCATCAATAGCATTTGTTGTCATTAATAAATTTGTACTTGATTGATTTTCATCATCAGAACTTGTATTTCCATCATCGTTATTATTATTACTATTATTATTATTATTATTTGATGATTGTTTAGGTTGTCGACCACGATGTAACATATAAAATGTTATTAATTGTTGTATACATAAACAATCAAGTAATAAATAACATTCATCAATACCATTACGTGCAAAATCATGAAGAAAAACAAAATATTCTGACATATAACGTATGGATAAACGTGCACCACCTTCACTTATAATTGATAAATATTTACGAATAAATTGTTGAACAACAAGAGAATCTTCATTGGAAGAATCACTAGGATAATATTGAAAAAAAAAACAATTAATCACGCTTGTATATGAATTATACAAAAGAAACCATTAGAATTTCTATAATTAAGTTTCATTTCAATTCATATGAAAACTTACATTAGTTAGAAGTAGAGTCCACAAAAGAAAAATGGAAAAAAGTATTGGGTTCCGAGTCTGAAAAAACTAGATGGCCAGAATTTTTCCAATAGGATATTCGCCAATGGCAAAACTCCAGGTGGCTGTGTTAGCGAAAGTTCTAGAATTTCACTTTATTCGCTAGACTCTATTGATATAAGAAAAAATTTTCAAAGAATTGTGTTTTTCTTCTACAGAGTAAGCTTTGCAACAAAATGCTCGGGTTATTCATCGAAACCAACTTTAGACTTCAAATCTTGTGCTAAGAAAGTTTCCGATTGGACTTTATTTGTGATGAAAGTATTTGATAATCTAGTATTGCCTACCAAGATTGAAAAGTTTTATTATTATATTTTAAAACAGGACACATTAGAAAATGGAATATGTTTATTTTTTGAAAAATTCATTCTGAAGAAGAAAGATGCAATTTCTTGAAAAGTTTCTCTTACACAAATCGAGCTTAGTTAATAAGGTAAGAATCATCTGAAAAGCAGTTTCTCATCTAATAAGATTCTATTGTATATAGAATTTCTGAGTCAAATAGAAAACAGTGCAATGCCATGAGCTGTCAGAGTTGACTACAGTTCATCAATAAGTTAGAAAATTTTTTCCAAAAGTTATATAAAACACCTTCAATTTCTGCATAACTTTGCACTTTTTCATCATCATGGTAAAACATAGCCGCTTTACAAAACTTTTAATATCAATATATGATTTACTCTCATCGATGTAGAATTTTTTTTAAGAGTTGAAACCCATTATAAAATTAAAATAAAATTATTTCTTCCGTAAAATGAATAATTTTCATATTCTTATTCTATTCTTTATAGAAGAAAAATCTATACAAAAACAAATCATCACTAAGATTTCTAAACTTGAAACTTATTAAAATTTTTGCTTACCGAAATCGACTTTTATGTAAAACATCAATAAGAACACGTGCAAACATATGACGTATCGTATGATTTGGACATCGAACAAGTACTTTCGTTAGCCATGTATCATCTTGTGTCATATGTGAAAGAAACCAAACAGCAACTGGTTTACAAGCTGTAAATTGTTTACATAAATATTCAACCCAACCTGTCATTGTTGGTTTATCTTTTGCATGTATATATGTTTCAAAAACAAATGTTATTGCTAATTGTATAGGTAACATATCATATGATTCTTTTGTTGATAAATTTTTATCAATTTGTTCTTGTTGTTCATCTTGCTTTATTGTTAATGTATTTAATGGTACTTGATGATGACAAAGTGTCCACATAAATGTAAAATAATGATGATCAAATAAATGTCTATCACGTACAAAACGTCGATTATCTTCCCATATCCAATCAGATATATCTTTTGATATTGTATATGGTATTGGATCTTTTAATTGTAATGTTGGTATATTTGTTGTTGTTGTTGACATTGATGATGGTAATGGTGTATCAATACGTTCATAAAATAACATATAAGCTGAATGAGTTTTTTCAAATTGAAAATCAAGAAAACGATCTGAACCTTGATCATAACCTTTTGATGTTATTTCACCACCAAAACATTCATTAGCTATTTGTGATGGATCAAATTGTTTAACTTCAGCATCATTAAATAAATACCAACGATGTTGTTGACATTGTTGTTGATTATCTAATATCATATCAGCATTTGCTGGAAAATTATTATCATTTGGACGTTTAACACGTTCACGTATAAATGAATAATAATGTCCACCTTCAGCCGTACCCGTATGAACAGTAACACCAATTAATTCAAATAAATGTGATTCATTACCAGATGATGGAGAAAATGGAAGATATTTATTTGTACTAATAAAAAAAAAAAAAAAAAAAACAAAATTAATGTATTAAGATGAGTTATGTGATATAACCATTCAATTTTAGAGTATTATTCAAGAGCAATTATATTCATAGGATTCTTAGATGTAATAAAGTTAATATGTAGAAGTTTACTTGATCTAATTTTGTTACATTTCAGTCCTAAGAAAACGTTTGTGGTGGATGAAATGTAAAGCTTACCAATTGATGAATACTGAACTGAATAGATAATTTTCTGAAGTATTATCAAGATTAAACAATATTATTCTATCCAAGGAAACTATCTCAATATTTCTTTAATGTGATTTTTAGCGTCGCAAGCTGACAGAGAAACAAATTCAGCTGTCGAATAGCTATCCATTTTTTGAAACTATTATTATTCGATCAGTCTTGATGACTAGTAAAAGATTCTGTTTTGATTTGTTTTTTTTTTTTTGTTTATAGGTCTTATAATCAAAAGAAACAAGCCTAGAACAGTTTGTTCTAGTGCAAACTTTGAGTGAGCTTCTAGTATCTAAAAAGCCTATCTATGTACAAAACTTCAAGTTCTTAGCGATCCTATACTCTAAGAATAAATAATTCATCAAGACCAATCGAATGATATACTTTCAAAACGAAAACTAATCTAATAAATTAATAAAAATCTATTAATGAAAATGTGGAACACGATGTAGTTATTTTTGCTAAGTACAAGAAGATGAGTTTTATTCTATCTATTCAGGGACATATTCTCTTCATCATCGTTTTACTTAACTCTTCGAAAATGTAATAACGAAGTAGTTTATATCAGAGATGGGATTAGTTCGGTTCTCAGCTTTTTAAACCGATTTCGACTTTAATTTTGAATGACTTACAGAGATTCTATCTCTAGTTTATATATTAGAACGAGACTTTATTGATTTCTTTGGGAGAGGAGAGAGGTGACGAAATTCTATCCTATACACTGCAACACTTCTTTTTAGATCGTTTTCATACTTTTCAATATCTTTGTCTTCATAATTATCTTGATTATCATTACTAATTAATTTATTTCTATCAATTAAATTTGTTTCCATATAACCACTCATATCTAATTGCATAGGAAATTGAAAAAGTGTATTAACTTTTTCACGTTGCATTGTAACCATATTAAATGTATATCTCATTGTATTTAAACATAAAATTTTTGGTAATTTTCTAAAACATACACGTTTTTCTGCACGAACTTTTTTCGAACATTTTGAACATGTATACATATTATCACCTTCTAATGTATCTTTAACAGTTAATTCTGCTAATGATTCATGTACATCTTTCATATCAGCAACTTGACAACGTACAGTATAAAATTCTTCTAATTTTCTTGATATATGTGGACAATCAAATGAAATAACAATATTAGTTAAAATACCACAAAATAAATCCCGTACAAGTTGTTTTAAATCATCAGACATTTCTTCTAATTTAGTAATTAAATCTGTAAAAAATTCAGTCATATCTTTTTGATCACCTGTATTTAATGATTGTAAACCATCCATTGTATAAACTTTACAAAAACTTTTTGGATTATATGAACGACGTTCACTTTCAAGTAAATAAGCAAACATACGTTTTAATTCATATAGAATTAAATCATGTTTATCACCTTTATTTGTATTTAATATAGCTGTACGTAATTCAGGTATCATATATAAATGTTGTAAACTTGTTGCAGCATAACATGTTGCACCTAAATTTGTTAAACCAACATAACCAGAATATGAACGTCCATCATCACGTGGCCAATAATCCCATATATATGGTTGTTGACGATCAATTGAATTATGTTGTTCAAGAAGTTTTTTTTGTAATTGTATAAAATTTTCACGATTAACTTTAATTAATTCATTAAGAAATTCATAAGATTTAGCACGTGTTAATAATGATTTACATTTTGGTACAAAACGATTTTCACTTGTTGGTAATTTAAATAAATATTTAAATACACGATCAATTAAATTAAATGTTAATTGTTTATATAATTGATTATTATTAAGATTAATTTGTTTAACATATAAATTATTATATTGTTTAACTATAGATGTTAATAAACAAAGTAAACCATATAAAACTTCATCTTCAATTAATTTATCACGTTGTGTTTCATATGGTATATGTTCATGAATAAAATTTATTAAAATTTCAATTAATTCATGATCAAATAATATTATTTGATTTGTTTGATTTATATTACATAATTTATTTTTATGAATTTTTATTTGTTTTATTTCATCATAATGCATACGATCAATAATTGATGTTAATAAATGAAAATATTCATGTGAAGATTGATTAAGAAATAATGAATGATTATCATATTTTGGTATTAATGTTGAGGAAATATTTAATGCTTGTAATGAATATGTTGAATTTGTTTCGAAATTTGTTTGATATAATGGTGATAATGTGGATGATGATGTAAATTTTAAAGCATATGGAATTAATTCAAGAAGATTTGTAAGTATTGGTACAAGACAAATACGTTCGACAGGTGTTTCATTTATTGATTCGATTGAAGATGAGATTGTTAATGTTTGAGCTGCTTTTTCTTCATCGATTGGACAACTACGTTGAGTTGGCATAGGTGGTGGTGGAGGAAAATCGGTTATTGGTTGAAGATTTAAGTCATCATTGGTTCCTAGAATGATTAAAAAGATATTTAGATATAAAAATATCTTGATTGAGTTAGTTTTTTTTTCAAGCAAAACGATGAATTGAAAAGATAATCTTTGATTACAGTGAAAGGATTTTTTGATAAATGAAAGCAAAATTATGAGTTAGAATGAGAATTTTGTGTGTTTTTTAGATGTCAACTTAGAAACTGTTTGGAACTTTTATTAATAGATCAGTTTATAGAATAGAAGCTACCCTGCAAAAAGTGCTATGTAATATTTTTTTGCTTTCTTGATAGAGGCTTTAAGAGAATGTCATGGTTCCTTTAAGAAACATTGATTTTTGAATTTCGACTTGAAACTGTACATAGAGACAGGCTTTGGTGAGAATAGCTTATTATAAAGATTTCAGATCTTGCCATTTTTTTCAATTCTAAGAAACATCTGTGATAAATGTACGCATTTCACGATGCTCAATATACACTGACACATCTGATGTTCCTATTTCAGAATAGAAGCAAATTAAAAGATTTGAAACTTTCGCAATAAACTCCTCTCGCTAAGATCTATCTCTTTGCAAAGTTTCAAAACGAAATTCGACAACCAGTTTTCTCGAGAGCAACCACTTTGTCAAAAGTTACTTCACTACTTTCAAACAAAAACACAGACAATTTATCTATGTCTACCGAATATTAGATACAATATAATTGTTCAAAATTATCTTGTTTACATTTTAGTTCGATTTCAATCAAACAAAATATTCAATAATGAATATCAAAAAATTCTTTAAACAATAAAAATCTCTACCGTTTTCGACATACATAAGCAATTACGAAAAACATTTGTATTATTCTTTTTCAAATAAATATAAATAAAAGTTTTTTGAAAATTTTTATATAAAAATCAAAAAGTTCATCTTAGTCTTTTACTCGTCTACAATCAAAACATAGGATTTTAAATATTTTACCTGAGGAAATATTACTATTATTATTATTTGAAACCATACATAATCGATAAATATTTAATTGAGCTTCACGTTTAAGTAAAGTATCATATGCATCGAGTAATAATGCTTTTAACCATATACTTAATTTTGGATGTTCAATAAATTTCGTACGTATATCATCGTATGAATGACATAATGTTATAAATAATGTCATTGATGTATGTAATAAATCCGTACGATTAGCAAATTGTAATAAAACAACAGGACAACATAAACGTGTACTTTTTGTAACAATTGATAATTGTATATCAATAAGTGTATCTAATAAAATTTCTTTATCTGTTAATGCAACATTTTCCCAATGTGGTTCATATATATGAAAATGTGATTGTTGATGAACAATTGGTGTTGATGATGAATTATCAATATTTGTTAAATCTGTTGATGATAATGCAGCAATTATAGCTGGTGTTGTTGTTTCACGGCGAGTCTATAAAATAAAAATAAAATATTATTTTTGTAAAGAATCAATAAAATTGAAAATGTACTTTTTTTCTTGTATTAACAGGTGTACGAGGTGAATGTTGTTCATCAATAGCTGTTGGTATTGTGGCTGGTGGTACTGATGATGGTGGTGGTGGAGGTTGTTGTTGTTGACCAGAAGATTGAATAGTAGGTGTAGGAATTTTTAATAGACAAGAACAAAGTATTTTAAGTGTATATAAAAGTGCATCAGGTAAACCTGAACACCATGAACGATCAATAGGTTCAGTAAAAGATGATTTTGAAATAAATAAATTATAAAGATATTTTAAACCACCTTTATTAACAAATATATCTTTATACGTTGGCATACGTCGTATAAGCATATCAATTATTTGTAATGAATATGTTAAACGAAATGGATCGGAACGTTGTAAACAATTTGCCCATTGTTCAGTATTATCATCATTATCAATAAATTCATTTAATTGTGATAAATTTTGAAATATACCACTATGTGTTGGAATAAGTAGAAGAATTTCCCATAAACGACTAACAGCTAAACGAGCTTCAGCATGCTAAAAGAAAAAGAAAATATATCAAATTAATTTAAAATTATTTATCCTTTTTCTCACAAAACAAAAAAAAAAGCAGATTAAGTCAAAGTTTTCTTCGATGCTATTTATTATAAAAAAATTTGTCATTATTTCTCTGAAGTAATTAACTTATTGATTCGTGTAAAACATGGGTCGAATATCATATTGTTAAGACGTATACGTTTTCTCAGTAGATATAAGTAAGCCGGTCTCGATTCTGCTGAAACTGTCGTAAATCTTAAGTATGTGCTTTGCTTCTTGAGAAATTCAATTTAAAAAAAAACGGTTTATCATAGGAGGACACAGTTATAGACAAAAACGTTCAGGTTGAAACTTTATGCTTCAGTTTTTTTCGAAAATCTATTACCGTGAGTAAAAACCTAATTAAAATAGCTGTAGGCTCAAATCTATACAAACTTTTCTTAGGTTCATCAAGATCTTACTCACAATTATAACATGACGTCCATTAATTGAATATATATGCTACGAAAATATATAAAAAATTTCTTTACCTCCGATGATGTTTCAATAAAGTTTTGTAATTGTGCAAGTATTGAAAAAAATTGGTCAATATATTTTAACAATATCATCATGGGCATTTTACATGGTATATAATTTTTTAAAAGACGTTCATCAATATTATATAAATCTTTTGTACGATTTCTTGTTGATGCATTTATTAATATTGTTTGATTATCTTTTATATTACATTCACTTAATGTTTTATCATCAATATCTCTATCAAGTTCTTGACCATTAGCTAAAACACGTATGGATGGTAAATTTGACATGTGAAGAAGATCAAATGATGATGATGATGATGATGATGAGATTGTTGATGATGATGATGATGAATTTGTTGAACTTAATAAAGGTAAATCATTTTTTTCAATTGTTAATAATGTTTGTGTTAAAACATTTGTCATCGGAGGTTTTAATGTACAATACCAACGTGTTAATTCCGCTCGTAAATCGCCAATAAATTCATTTGGATTCATTTTTAATATATATTTTTCTGTACCACCACTTGTTATTGGTGCATTACATATTAATTTAAGCACATTTGTATCACGTTCATCTGTTAATGTTAATTGTTTTACATGTGGTTTAAGTGATGATGATGAAAATAGATTATTATTATTATTATTATTTGTTTGTGATATATATTGATAAAGACGTATAACATATGAATAACGACGCAGAAATAATTCTAAATGTGTACGTAATAAAATTGATATACGATTAATTGTACGTAATGATGATAAATCATCAAGTGTATTTATACATTCATTTAAACAATTCATACAACGCGCTATGAATGGTTCTTCACGATCAAGTGTACCATCTTCATTTTGTATTTGATAACTATTTAATGTTTGTGCTGCTAATGTACTTACATTTTGATCTAATGCACGCATAGCAACATCACTAACATAATTTAATATTAAAAATTCAAATGTTTGAAAATCATGATATTGTTGGGTTAAATTTGTTGTTGTTGTTGATGATGATGATGCCTGTTGCTGTTGTTGTTGAAGTATATGTACCCAATTTGTACGACTTTGTTGAAGAATTTCTTGAATTAAGTTTAATTGTTGGCAACATACATGTTCAGGTTTTTGTGTTAAAAGCTAAAGAAACAAATATATATATATGTGACTAAAATGATTTTATGATAAGATAGAGAATGACAAACAAATATTGATCTTATATATTGAATAGGGGTAGCCCCATTTAGAGTCAGTTGAGTCTAAAGTTTTCGAACCTAGAAGCAATCCGACAGACTCTAGTCCTACTTGATGATTTCTCAGTGTGGCCTTTATAGTATCAATTACAATGATTTATATTTATATTTAATATAGAAGAGAGTAATTTGTATAATAATCATAATCAGATAAATCCAAAAGTTATCAAAACGCGTAGACACATGTTACATATACAACGCAAAAAAACGTAAGTTGTTTGTTTCTTAATGAATTTTGTCACATTAAATTTCTAATTGTAAATTGCATATTTAAGTGTTGTTCAAAATGTGTGTTTTAACAGTGATTGCTGACATATCATTTAGTTTAAGCTCAGTTATCATATTGATTCTGCTCAATAACGATTATTCGAATATGAGTTTATTAAATGACTTATCATGAATGAACTGAGAAATCATCAAATAAAACTGATTTAAAAGCAAACCATTCAATATAGAAGTTTGTTTTGCGATATGTGCAGTTTTTTTTTTTTCATTATAAAATTCAGTAATAACTTTTACATGAAGTATACAATTATTTTGCAGAAATCAAAAAAAAAATGATACCGATTGGGGGAGTACCCAATGGACCTAGTTCCTCTTTGACTCATTTACTAGAGTATATTGAGATAAGACAAAGCGTAATATGGCTCAAGTTGATGACATATTGCCAACGACTTAAGGATATTTTATTGAGATTAAAGTATGCCAAAAAAGTAGCATGACAAGTCTTAATCTAAAATTTTGTCCATCGAAACATTTAATAGTCATTATAATAAACCTGAAAGTTTCAATGATGAAAACGAATATCTCTTTCTCAAGATAATTAATTTCTATGTCGAGTGGATTATTATTATATTGCCTTCCCATAATCAACTGTTTTTGTTCTTCGAAAATTGAATACCTTGAGTAAAATATGTTCACTTTCGGTGAAACGTTCAGAACTCTCTAAAGACTATTACACTTATTTATAGTGGAGGACTGTGAGACCATCTTTTTTTTGGCACCACTCCCCATAGCAATTTTTTTTAGTTCCGACTTTGGTGCCCACCGGGACTGTTTTGTGGTTTCATAATCTATAGGCAAAATTTTAGATCAAAACTTTTGATTTTGTCTTTTTTTCAGAAATCTCTGACTCTGAGTAAAATGTCTTTAACTTCTCAGCAGTATGCCATGAACTCGAACCTTATCAGACCTCTGCTTATCTAAAAATATACTCGACTGAATGAGTAATGAATGAGTCAAAACTGAAGTGAAAACCTTGAATAGTTCTCTCGTTAATGCAAATAAACCATGAAAAATAGGCTACGTGTTCGTTTCTCGAGAATTAGTATTATATTCAAGTCTTCATTTCTACAAAACCGTGCTTATATAATTCTGCTCTACGCTGCACATCTCAAGCAACTGGCATGCCAATGATCTATGTGTTCTTTTTATATATATCACGGTGATTTCACGCTGTAAACCTGTTGCTCGTGACTCATTTTTCCACGTTCTTTATTTTTATGCGTTGTTTTAATTGCTTTCATCTTTCAAAAGTTACTCGTAAACAACATTATGTCGCTTTAGGTCCTATTAGAATTAGAAGGTTAAATAGACTGCAAATAATTAACATATTTAATCTATTCGTAAATATTAGAAAAAACATCTATTGAACGTAAAATCAACTTTTAGTATCACACTAGATATGAATACAGATTCAAAATATTAATGGTAGTAGAACAGAATTATATCTTTTAACCTTCATTAGTGAAATTTTCGAGAAATATTAAAAAAAATGTCTCTCTTTCTCTATCTATTTTCATACCTTTTCAGTAAGTAAATGTTTAAATGTTTCTAATGAAAGTGCATGTCCACCATCACGATTTTTCAATTGACTTAATAACCAATTATAAAGTTCTTCACGATTTGCTCCTGTTGAACCAGTTATCATTGTTAAACAATCCCATAATTTATCAGCTTGATTTTGTGTTAAATCTATTTACAAAAAAAAAATTATTCGAATGAATAAAAAAAACAAAATCTTGGTTTTTTTCTTTTTAATACTTACTAAATTCTTTTGGTGATGCTGATATTGAAAAAATAAATGATAAAAATTGAAAACGTACTGTTATTTCATTATGTATAGATATTAATGATGTATTTGCTTGTAAACGTTTTGTTAATTGTTCTAAATCATTAAAAAAAGTATTTAATACATGATATTTTTCTTCAAATAATAAAAATATATTTGTATTAGCACGTTGTTGATGTTGTTGAAATATTAAAAATAATTTTGGTAATAAACGTAATGATATTAAACTTGATGTTGATTTTTTTAAATTATCTAAACATGCTTGTATAAAATGTAATAATATACGTTTATCTTCAATTGAACCAAGAACTTGAATAAATAAACGTTCTGTTTCATTAAGTAAATTATCTGGTAAATGAGATGAATTATTTATTGTTTGATCTTGTAATAAATCCCATAGAAGTGTTTGACCAGGTAAAGATAAATTTGATATATTTATTTCATCATCGTCAATATTACCAGCTGTACTTGAACCATTTGTTGATTCAGTTGATGATGCTGTTGATGATGATGATGATGTATGATTACCAAGATTTGTTTCATTATCTTGTCGTTTTCTAGTTTGTTGATCAGTTGGAGTGGATGATGCTATATCAGATAATTGATGATTTATACGCATACGACGTGCTGTTGTTGGTTGTTGTTCAGATTCGCTCATATCTTCAAAATCAGCCATATTTTTTGCTGAACCTGTTCCACTAAGTACATCCGATACAGACGAATTAAAATCACCTTCTTCTTCTTCTTCATCATCATCATCGTCATCATCGTCGTCGATATTAGGACGAGGACTAGGAAAAATAAATACAAGATTTTATTCATACGGATAAGTTTGAAATGTTCGAAAAACAATCAATTATTTGATGAAATCAATATTGTATGGATAGGAAAGATATATAATGTTTGCAAGCAAACGATTTGAATTTCGTTTCTTAGATTTTTATTGACACAACATTTCAGGCAGAAATCTTAAAATTGATTTGGTTTTTGTTTTCAGAAGAAAACTCAATCTTCTTGTACTTGATAATTCATATTTAATAAATTATAGATATTCAAAAGAAATATACAAGTTCGTTGTCATATTCATGAAAATGAGGAACAATGGATAAACAGTCCCGTTTGGTACATATTATAAATTTTCGAGGAGTGAACATTGTGTCTAAAACTAAAATTCGTGTCTCGCGTTTTTTGTTTTTCGTTTACGAAATATCGGCGTAACAAGAAATTGTTTTCTATGCTGTTTTTCTTACCGTTTTTTCTTTGGTCCAATAGTATCTCTACAATCATAAATTTCAGTTTCCATTTCCGATGGAAGTGATCCAGCTTGTGATGCATCTTCAGCACTTTCTGGTGAACAAATCTAGCAAAAAAAAAATTTCAATAAAATTTTTTTTTGTCCTTTTGAAAATCAGTTGAAATTTTACTTTTTCTTGATATTTTTTTCTTGATGAATTTATTTCATGATCTGTATTATTTTCTTCATCATCTTGATGTTGACGAGTTTCTTTAACAATTTGTTGTTGTTGTTGCTGTTGTTGTTGTTGTGGTTGTTGTTTATTTTTACGATTAATTTGTTGTTTTAATGATGATTGTACAACAGTTGGTAAAACCATTCCACGAAGATCTTCATCAAATATTTCATTTTGATCATCATCCTCATCGTCAATATCCATTTGATCATCAGGTAAAACAAGTGTTTTAGAATTATTTATTATAAAACCTGAACCTGATGTTGGACGTTTTGTTGGTGTTGATAAATCTTCAGGTTTATACATCTGTATAAAAGAATCACTTTTTTGTTTCTCTTTGTGATTAATATAATCAAGTTTTTAATTACCTGACTTAAATTTGAATTCATATTTGTCATTGTTTCATCATCATCGGATTCTTCTTGATTAGCAGGTGTGCCTCGTTGAAATCGTTCACGATGTTGCTAAATAGAAAAACAATATTGTTTTCTTTTGTTCTATATTAAATTTAACATTTCTGTTTACCATTAATACTTCACGCGAAATTAAATGTGTTTCATTTTCCGATTCATCATCATCTTCTTCATCATTGCTCGATGTTGGTTCAGCTATAAAAGAAAAATTTAAAAAAAAAATTTCGAATTTCTTATTTTAATAATTAAACCTGTTCGATTAAATGGTGTTGTTCGTCGTACAGCTGCTGTTGTATTACGTAATTGTTCATCATTATTTTCATCATCATCTTCGTCATCTTCATCATCACTCCATTCATCACCAGGAGCATTTGTATTTGTTGTATCATCAGATTTTTTTTCCGAACGTAGAACAAATTCAGATGATGGATTTGATTTAAGAATATTTTGTGATGGAAATTCTTTACATTTATTAGCCATTAACTTAAGAACATTTTGTTCTGCTAAATTTTGTTGTTGAGGTGAACCAACAACAATAACTTCTTCAGTTGAATCTTCATCAATTGGACTGGTTTTAACTGATTGTTGTTGTTGTTGTTGTTGTTGTAATGGTTGTTTTTTCACAGCAATAGGACGTGGCATTGTCGGAGGAGATGAAGGAGATGTTTGACGAATTAGACGAGGAGCATTTTTATGTTGTACTCGTGCTAAAATCAAATTTTCGAAGGAATACATTCATAAAAATGTATGAGTAGATTCAATGAAACAATTTCTCACGAGGAAATGTATCTGACTAAAAATCTCCGTTTTTGATCATAGTGTGGATAGAAAATCTCGAGAGAGGATTTGTATTATTATGCCTTTCTTCTTGAGTAATGGGTATTTTATTAAACTTTGAACTTATTGCAGAATATTGTGGGACAAATCACAACAAGAAACTGTCGTCTAAAAGTTTTCGCAACAATAACTCTCATAATTCTTATGGTATTCTAAAAGTTGCAGCTTAAAAGGATGTTTCTCTTCTGGGATAGGCTGTTTGCGAAAAACATTACTTTCTCACAAGGGCTTCAATCATAACCTAGATTTCAGATAGATGATCCCGTAAGAAGTAATCGTCCGTTTGAAGTAACACTTTTTGAATATTATAAGAACCATAAAAGGTGTTGCTGGGAAGAATGTCAGACCAAAACTCTCCGTTTCGACGTGTCCCGTGATATTCTGTCGTAGGCTGACACTTTAAAAAACGACAATAACTCGAGATCTCATAATACGAATCTTTTCACGATTTTTATCTATACTATTAGCTCAAACCCAGATTATCAGTTGGATAGGTATTCTCACGGAGTATAAAAGTAACGAAGTGCATCAAAACTTTTCTATTAAAGGTCTATATGAGATTTAACAATGTTCTAATCTGGTTTTTTTTTTACGTTTTCTATTTCAAAACGGAAGACAATTTGTAAAAGATGCTCCAATCCTTATTGCTATCGATTTACATCTCTAAACATAGAAAGACGAAGTTGTTTCTCTAACCTCTATGTCGAATCATTGCAACATTTTTTGTTCTATCAATTCTTTTTAATGGTGATAATTGTTGTCGTTTTAAAGTTTTCTGTTTTCGTAAAATATTTTGCATATTTAATGAATTTCTTTGACGAAATTTTTGTTTCATTGCTAATTCTTGTTGTTTTTTATTTTGTATAATTGTATTTGATGAACGTATTAATTGACTCCAATATGATTTTGTTAATATACTTATTAATGTTAATGTTGATTCTGTATATTGTGTACGATCACTACGACCAATTAATTGTAATAAATGATTAAGTAAATGTATACTTAAATTTTTTTGTCCTAAATTCATTAATAAGTCTAATATATGTCGACTACAATGTGTTAATGATACACATGACCATATTAAATCAATATGTTCAACCGTTAAACGATTATTTGATGCTAAAAAAATTAATATAGTTAAACATTGTTTAAGTAATTCCGTATGTAAATTAGGTCCAAATAAGTAATCAATGATTTTATTATCAATAATCCAATTAGCTAATTTACGTTCATGATGATTATGTGATGAATATTCATCATTATCATCAGTTGAACTTGTTGATGATGATGATGCATCATTAGTTAATTTTTGTGTTGTTTCATCTTCACCATCTGATTCACTAACAGTAAATATTTCTTGTGTTGTATTCGTATGAGAACAACATGATGCTGCTGCAGCTGCAGCTGCTGCCATTGATTGATGACGACGATATTGTGTATAATCAAGACATTGTTGTATTTGATTTGTTATATGTGATAAACCAGTTAAACGTATTGTTAATGTTGAACATGTTAAATATTTCAATGCTAACGTTAACATTAAACGATCAAAATGATAACGTTGAAATTGTATTGTATGATGATGTTTTGTATTATATGGTGATAAAACACTTGTTGATGATGTTGAACGTTGTCGAAATGTTGTTGTTAAAAATAAATCTTTTAATGATGCATATAATAAATCATTCGTATTTTTTTGTCCACATAAACGTAATTCATTGTCAGATAATAAACACATATAACGTATTGCATGTGGACGAATTGGTAATAGAAAATTTTTTATAATATCTATATAAATAGAACAGTTTAGTCATATTGATCATGTAGATGAAGAATCTATCTGACGATCATCGCAATGGACCTGTCTCGTGTTCTAACATATGCTCATATGTAACATTGTGGAAGTCGTAATAGACCGCATGTTGTGCTATCTCAAAGTTCAAGGTGAACTGGAAGAACACTGAGCAAAGGACTTCACGCTGCTTATTGGATAAGAGAAAAGTAAAAAGCATACGAAGAACATCAGATAACTTCATTGATCGATATTGCTCAACATTATCAAATAAAACAAAATTTGTAAGAGATCGAAAAATGTCAAAATTATAATCTTAAGACTTCCTTATCGTTTTTTTACTGATACGCAGGATTGAATTTATATACATTGATGTTGATGTGATCGCCACTTATTTTAAATTTAATCAACAGTTTCAATAGGAAGAAAACCTTGCTTCCTACGAGAGAACTTATTTTAATTGATAAATCGTTTTTTAGTCGAGACTGCCCATTATGTAGAACTAAAAGAGCTATGGCTATGCTGAAAAGAGTTCGTGCTCTAGGTTATTGATACAAGCGTGTTGTACTTTTATGGTAGTTTCCAAATAGCTGCCATCGTCCTCAGGAAAAACTGATTTTCGAATTGACTTGCAACTTGACACGGAGACAATCCTTAACAAGAATAATTTCTTTTCAAAATTTAAAGATCCTTTCGTTGTTCCTATCTTAAGATACAACTATATTAAACCAATGTCTTTTACATCACTCATATTTAATTACAGGCTGATCTTTACAGAAAATTGCAACTCAAAATTTCAAAAAATCAGCTTTCCTAAGGAGATGTTATAGTGTAATTCACTTATGTTTAATGTTTTTGTCTTTTCCGTTCTGCTATCGTGCACATGACACATACTGTACATAAATATATGTATTATTATCTTCTGTCCTTCATCTTTCTTTTTTCTTCAGGTATTTTTCCCTTTCACACAATATTCGGGTTTTTCCCAGTTGGTTACTATACACAATGACTCTTTTAAGAAAAAAATAATGTTCCTATATTCAATCAAAACTGTCCCTAACAGGCTGCTACAGAATTCATTGAAATCCACTGTCAATTTTGTATTATCTCATCAGTAAAAATTAAAAATACGAATTCTTTTCAAAACTCATTTGAGTCTAAATGATGCACACTATTTCATGTTTTAATATTTACCTATATTTAAATGATGACGTAAATTAGTTAAAATAACAAATAATGCATGCGCAATTGATAATGGTAACATTCGAGTATTTTTAGCTGATTCAAATACTTGTCGTATAACAATTAAACCGCGATTTTCACAAAATGAACATATATGTCTATATAAATAAAGTGATACATGATGAGAATCATTATTTCCATTTGTATGATTTGATGATAAATTTAAATGACAATATGATGATAAAAATGTTTTAAAATCAGCTGATGCATGTTGCATTTGATAATAAGCAACATGATGTGCTAATGATGGATTACGATGCGCAGCTGAATATATTGGTAAATTAAGTGTAAAACAACGAGCTACACATAATAGTAAACGCTCTTTTTCTTCTAATGTCCATTGACGATATTGACGTTGTTGTTCTTGATCTGTTGTTGTTAATATACTACATATTTGTGTTGATGAATCTGATTCATTTAATTGATTACAAAAATCTTCATCATTGAAATTATCAGATACCGTAAATGTTTGTAATAAATTTATTATATATAATAATAACCATTCAACAAGAGAGGAAAAACGTTCTATTGTTGTTGCATCACGACATAAACATGCGCATCGACTGGAAGAAAATTTTAAATAGAATAAAAGAATGCATATTTAAACAAACAAAATTCCCACTAATATCATTAGTATAAAAAACAAAATAGTCTAAAAGTTTCCGAACAGTTGTTTTCAACTTCACAAAGTAGTTTAAATTCTGAGTGCGTCAGCTTGTTTTTCAAAAATCTCAACAAAAATATGATAATTTCTTTTTGAATGTTATTAGCAAGAAGACCCTGCTTGATGAACTTTGGATCGACCTTTATTTACAATTAACTAGTTATCTTACTGGTTATAAAAGAAGTTCGGTCGCTTTGCCAACTTGCCTGAATAGAGTAATGGATCAATATTGAATATGTGGTGTGTCATGATATATAACCAGGAAGAAAGAAAAATGAATAGAATGAATAGCATGACCTGTCAGACCTGACATTGGTGCTTGATGTATATTCTCAATAACATTTTTGCGGCTTGTGAGAAATACAAAACTCGTAGGATTACGTTCTTTTTGTTGTTCATCCTCCGCTGTGCAGAATGATATTTCTCAATTGTTTCAGTATATAGACATTAATTTGGAAAAAATTGTACATAGTGCCTGTTGTACTTGAAAACAATATGAACTTATTTCGAATGACAGAAGAACTATAATCGAAATACTCAAATTTAATTAAAAATACTCATCCTAACTCTGACTCATGTAAAGATAGCACATCTGTTTATGTTGTCATCTCTGGAATTGATATTAACACTCGAAATTCTTCTTTATAAACTACCGATTTTAAGTATTTGTATTTAATGTTCATATTATTCTGCGAGTTTCCTGTCAGTAGGGTACATAATTCTTATTACCGATTGAAAAAATGCATATACAAACTTACGCAAGAACTTGTACATCGTAATTTAATGCGAACACATAGATCTCGATTTTTTGTAACACCATAAACTCCTCATCTCAATGTATAACTACATCGTATTATTTAGTTTTTTTTTTCAATAATTTATAATCTTGTTTTAATCTNCGCTACTATCTGAAACTCGTCTCTATCTAAATGAACCCCTCCGCAGTGACTCACAAACTATTGTATAAGTTTCATTTAGATATTCATTGATTTTTTTCAATAAGAAAAAAAACTAATTTATCTCTAAAATTTTTTATTTACTTGTTGATTAAAAGTTAATAATGATGTTATTGTTCCATGTGTTGTTGTTGTCGGTGTTGTTTGTGCTGCTGATGCTAATTGTTGTTTAGATAAATTTAAAAAATACTTTCCTGTTCGATATGTTTGTCGAAATATTGTTGATGGTACAAGTGCAACCATTAATTGTGCAATTAATGTACGTACTTTTGTATATGTATTATATAATAAATATGGTTTTAACCATTGTCTTATATTACTATATATCCATCGATGTATTACTGATGATTTATTAACAACATTATTAAACCATTCAAATACTTGTGTTGGACATATATCAATTAATTTTCCAATACGTATAACAATTAATGATGCAAAATCACACCAATTCTTATCAGAACTCATCGTTAGTGACATTTGTTGTTATTGTTGTTGTTGTTGTTGATCATTTGTATTATCATTCGTGATATTATTTGGATATTGTTCAATTAAATAAGTTAAAACTTTAAATAAAGCTTGTATACTATTCATATCATTTTTATAATTAGTTATCCGTTGTGATAAAAGATTAACAATTTTATTAGTATAAACATCATTTTTATAATATATTAATTGTATAATATGTGCTGTAGCTTTTAAATTAATATTATCAAGAATTTGTTGTTGAATAAAAGCAAAATCATTTTCAATAAATAGATGTAAATCAAAATTTTCAAGATTTGAACGTGTACGTTCAGTTTCTAATAATAAAGCTATTAATGGAAACATTTTTTCGAATATACCTGGACAATTTAAATTATTATTTGTTGGTAAACGTATTGTATTTAATGGTATAATATCATCATCAATACCATTTGTTGTCATTAATAAATTCGTAGTTGATTGATTTTCATTATCTGAATTTGTATTTCCATCATCATTATTATTATTATTTGATGATGATTGTTTTGGTTGTCGACCACGATGTAACATATAAAATGTTATTAATTGTTGTATACATAAACAATCCAATAATAAATAACATTCATCAATACCATTACGAGCAAAATCATGAAGAAAAACAAAATATTCAGACATATAACGTATAGATAAACGTGCACCACTTTCACTTATTATTGATAAATATTTACGAATAAATTGTTGAACAACAAGAGAATCTTCATTTGATGAATCACTAAAAATATAATAGTCTAGTTTTTCTTTTTTTTTTTATGAAACTTAATATTTTCTCTTACCGAAATCGACTTTTATATAGAACATCAATGAGTACATGTGCAAACATATGACGTATTGTATGATTTGGACATCGAACAAGTACTTTAGTTAACCATGTATCATCTTGTGTCATATGTGCAAGAAACCAAACAGCAACTGGTTTAAAAGCTGTAAATTGTTTACATAAATATTCAACCCAACCAGTCATTGTTGGTTTATCTTTAGCATGTATATAAGTTTCAAAAACAAATGTTATTGCTAATTGTATTGGTAACATATCATAAGATTCAGTTGTTGATAAATTTTTATCGATTTATTCTTGTTGTTCATCTTGTTTTATTGTTGGTACTTGATGATGACAAAGTGTCCACATAAATGTAAAATAATGATGATCAAATAAATGTCTATCACGTACAAAACGTCGATTATCTTCCCATATCCAATCTGATATATCTTTTGGTATTGTATATACTATTGGATCTTTTAATTGTAATGTTGGTAGATTTGTTGTTATTGATGGTGATGATGGTGTATTAATACGTTCATAAAATAACATATAAGCTGAATGAGTTTTTTCAAATTGAAAATCAAGAAAACGATCAGAACCTTGATTATAACCTTTGGATGTTATTTCACCATCAAAACATTCATTAACTATTTGTGATGGATCAAATTGTTTAACTTCAGCATCATTAAATAAATACCAACGATGTTGTTGACATTGTTGTTGATTATCTAATAAAATATCTGAATTCGTCGAAAAATTATTATCATTTGAACGTTTAACACGTTCACGTATAAATGAATAATAATGACCACCTTCAGCTGTATCTGTATGAACCGTAACACCAATTAATTCAAATAAATGTGATTCATTATCCGATGATGGAGAACATGGATATTTATTTGAACTAAGAAAAAAAAAGTAAATTATACTCTTCGAATTCATATTATCAAAATAGACAAACAAATCCGACTATCTATATTGAAATAATTTAGAAAGGATTTCATCTCTCTTTTCTACATTAGAATGAAGAGGTTTTCTTTGATTTCTCTGGGAGAAAACGGACGTTCCTATCCTAAACATATACATTTATTTTCAAATATTATCTTCATACTTTTCATTATCTTTATCATCATAATCATCTTGATTATCATTACTAATTAATTTATTTCTATCAATTAAATTTGTTACCATATATCCACTCATATCTAATTGCATAGGAAATTGAAAAAGTCTATTAATTTTTTCACGTTGCATTGTAACCATATTAAATGCATATCTCATTGTATTTAAACATAAAATTTTTGGTAATTTTCGAAAACAAACACGTTTTTCTGCTCAAACTTTTTTCGAACATTTTGAACATGTATACATATTATCACCTTCTAATGTATCTTTAACTGTTAATTCAGCTAATGATTCATGTACATCTTTCATATCAGTAACTTGACAACGTACTGTATAAAATTCTTCTAATTTTCTTGATATATGTGGACAATCAAATGAAATAACAATATTTGTTAAAATTCCACAAAATAAATCTCGTACAAGTTGTTTTAAATCATCGGACATTTCTTCTAATTTTTTTATTGAATCAGTAAAAAATTCTGTCATATCTTTTTGATCACCTGTATTCAATTGTAAACCATCCATTGTATAAACTTTACAAAAACTTTTTGGATTATATGAACGACGTTCACTTTCAAGTAAATAAGCAAACATACGTTTTAATTCATAAAGAATTAAATCATGTTTATCACCTTTAGTTGTATTTAATATAGTTGTACGTAATTCAGGTATCATATATAAATGTTGTAAACTTGTTGATGCATAACATGTTGCACCTAAATTTGTTAAACCAACATAACCTGAATATGAACGTCCATCATCACGTGGCCAATAATCCCATATATATGGTTGTTGACGATCAATTGAATTATGTTGTTCGAGAAGTTTCTTTTGTAATTGTATAAAATTTTCTCGATTAACTTTAATTAATTCATTAAGAAATTCATAAGATTTAGCATGTGTTAATAATGATTTATATTTTGGTACGAGACGATTTTCACTTGTAGGTAATTCAAATAAATATTTAAATACACGATCAATTAAATTAAATGTTAATTGTTTATATAATTGATTATTATTAATATAAATTTGTTTAATATATAAATTATTATATTGTTTAACAATTGATGTTAATAAACAAAGTAAACCATATAAAACTTCATCTTCAATTAATTTATCACGTTGTGTTTCATTAAGTATATGTTCATCAATAAAATTTATTAATATTTCAATTAATTCATGATCAAATAAAATAATATCATCGGTTTGATTTGTATTACATAATTTATTTTTATGAATTTTTATTTGTTTTATTTCATCATAATGCATACGATCAATAATTGATGTTAATAAATGAAAATATTCATGAGATGATTGATTAAGAAATAATGAATGATTATCATATTTAGGTATTAATACAGATGATATATTTAATGTTTGTAAGGAATATGATGAATTTGTTTCGAGATTTGTTTGAGATAATGATGATGACGATGAAGTAAATTTTAAAGCATATGGAATTAATTCAAGAAGATTTGTAAGAATTGGTACAAGACAAATACGTTCAACAGGTGTTTCATTAATTGATTCAATTGTAGATGAGATTGTTAAGGTTTGTGCTGCTTTTTCTTCATCAATTGGACAACTACGTTGTGTTGGCATCGGAGGTGGAGGAGGAAAATCAGTTATCGGTTGAAGATTTAAGTCATCAGCCGTTCCTAAAATGATTTCAAAAAGAAATATTACAAATTCCGATGAGAATTTCGTATGTTTTTTGTTTTTGTTTTACAAGTATATTGAAATAGCTTACCTGATGAATTATTATTATTATTACTTGAAACCATACATAAACGAAAAATATTTGATTGAGCTTCACGTTTAAGTAAAGAATCATATGCATCGAGTAATAATGTTTTTAACCATAAACTTAATTTTGGATGTTCAATAAATTTTGTACGTATATCATCATATGAAGGACATAATGTTATAAATAATGTCATTGATGTATGTAATAAATCTGTACGATTAGCAAATTGTAATAAAACAACAGGACAACATAAACGTGTACTTTTCGTAACAATCGATAATTGTACATCGATAAGTGTATCTAATAAAATATCTTTATCTGTTAATGCCATATTTTCCCAATGTGGTTCATATATAGAAAAATGACATTGTTGATGAACAATTGGTGTTGATGATGAATTATCTATATTTGTTAAATCTGTTGCTGATAGTGCAGCAATTATAGCTGGTGTTGTTGTTTCACGACAAGTCTATAATAGTTAAATGAACATATTATTTTTCTAATAAAAAAAAAAAAAATTTTACTTTTTTTTCTTGTATTACCTGGTGTACGAGGTGAATGTTGTTCATCAACAGCTGTTGGTATTATTGTTGGTGGTGGTGCTGATGATGGTGGTGGTGGAGGTTGTTGTTGTTGTTGTTGACCAGATGATTGAATCGTAGGCATAGGAATTTTTAATAGACAAGAACAAAGTATTTTAAGTGTATATAAAAGTGTATCAGGTAAACCTGAACACCATGAACGATCAATAGGTTCAGTAAAAAATGATTTTGAAATAAATAAATTATAAAGATATTTTAAACCTCCTTTACTAACAAATATATCTTTATATGCTGGCATACGTCGTATAAGCATATCAATTATTTGTAATGAATATGTTAAACGAAATGGATCGGAACGTTGTAAACAATTAGTCCATTGTTCTGTATTATCATCATTTTCATTAAATTCATTTAATTGTGCTAGATTTTGTAATATACCACTATGTGTTGGAATAAGTAGAAGAATTTCCCATAGTCGACTAACAGCTAAACGAGCTTCAGCATGCTAGAAAAAAAAACAAAGACAATGCATTGAATAGAATAGATCGAATTAATTGAAATCAATTTGTTTACCTCCGATGATATTTCAATATAGTTTTGTAATTGTGCAAGAATGGAAAAAAATTGTTCAATATATTTTAATAATAACATCATGGGCATTTTATGTGGTATATAATTTTTTAATAGACGTTCATCAATATTATATAAATCTTTAGTACGATTTCTTGTTGATGCATTTATTAATATAGTTTGATTATCTTTTATATTGCATTCACTTAATGTTTTATCATCAATATCTCTATCAAGTTCTTATCCAATTCATTAGCTAAAGCACATATTGATGGTAAATTTGACATATGCAAAAGATCAAATGATGAGGATGTTGATGTTATAGTTGATGATGAATTTGTTGAATTTAATAAAGGTAAATCATTTTTTTCAATTGTTAATAATGTTTGTGTTAAAACATTTGTCGTTGGAGGTTTTAATGTACAATATCATCGTGTTAATTCAGCTCGTAAATCACCAATAAATTCATTCGGACTCATTTTTAATATATATTTTTCTGTACTACCACTTATTATTGGTGCATTACATACTAATCTAAGCATATTTATATCACGTTTATCGAATGATGTTAATTGTTTAACATGAGGTTTAAGTGATGATGATGATGATGATGAAAATATAGTATTATTATTATTGTTATTATTTGTTTGTGATATATATATTGATAAAGATGTATAACATATGAATAACGACGCATAAATAATTCGAGATGTGTAGGTAATAAAACTGATATACGATTAATTGTACGTAATGATGATAAATCATCAAGTGTATTTATACATTCATTTAAACAATTAATACAACGTCCTATAAATGGTTCTTCACGATCAAGTGTACCATCTTCATTTTGTATTTGATAACTATTTAATGTTTGTGCTGCTAATGTACTTACATTTTGATTTAATGCACGCATAGCAACATCACTAACATAATTTAATATTAATAATTCAAATATTTGAAAATCATTATATTGTTGTGTTAGATTTGTTGTTGATGATGATGTTTGTTGCTGTTGCTATTGTTGTTGAAGTATATGTACCCAATTGGAACGACTTTGTTGAAGAATTTCTTGAATTAAATTTAATTGTTGACAACATACATGTTCAGGTTTTTGTGTTAAAACCTATAGAAATGAAAGTAGAGTATTAGTCAAATATTTATTTTATATATTTTATAGGGATAGTTCCATCTGATAGTCCTAATAATATTACTGACCATTATTTATAGTTCATATAAAACAGACTAGTTTCTATAATCAGATAAATCTGAAAGTTATATCAAAATACCTAGAATTATTATTTGTACAAAGAACAAATTGAGTTCGGTATTTCCAATCGTAAATTACATGTTCAGTGTCATTCACAATAGGTTTATCTTTATAGCAATCATTGACATATCGTTTTAGTTAAGGTTGAATTATTATACTGATTATGATAGGAAAGTATCCAAAGTGCTTAGTTCCATTTTAACACACTTAGTAGAGCATATTGAGATAAGGCAAAGCCTAATATAGTTCAAGGTCATGACATCATACCGAGAAAATAACGATATTTTACTGAGAACAAACTCTAGAACAACAAATGTTTATGAAATCTTTGTTCGCAGATAGATTTAGGATAATTAAGTTCTAAGTCAAATGGATTTTTATTTTCATTTTTGATAATTAAAAATAAACTTATTTAAGTTCAGCTCTAGTATTCATCGAAACCGAAACTCTGATTATTTTGCACTTCCGTAATATCAAAGTAAAATTTCCAAAACGAAAGTGTAAAAAATTAATTGATTCTCTCATAAATCAACAATAACATTTGAGCTATAATTCGAAAAACACTTTACTCTTGACATTTTATAAAAGTCGCATACTCATGACCTACTTTTTCTTTTCATATATCAAGACGATCTGACATTGCAAATGTGTCAGTCATGACTCATGTTATAATCGTCTTCTATATTTATGCATTGTTTCAATTACTTTCGTCCTTCAAAAATTATTCCTAAAAAAATTTCTATTGCTCTAGGTCGTAGTCTAAGTAGATAATAGGTAAAAAAAAAAAAAAGAGCACCTATTGAACACAAAATCAATCTCCAGTATCGAATAGAGAAAGAGAAAATATCTGAACCGTATGTTGATACCTTTTCTGTAAGTAAATATTTAAATGTTTCTAATGAAAGTGCATGTCCACCATCACGATTTTTCAATTGACTTAATAACCAATTATAAAGTTCTTCACGATTTGCTCCTGTTGTACCAGTTATTGTTGTTAAACAATCCCATAATTTATCAGCTTGATTTTGTGTTAAATCTATTTTTAAATAGCAAAGAAAAAAATCTTTTCATTTTTCTCTTATAAATACTTACTAAATTCTTTTGGTGATGCTGTTATTGAAAAAATAAATGATAAAAATTGAAAACGTACAGTTATTTCATTATGTATAGATATTAATGATGTATTTGGTTGTAAACGTTTAGTTAATTGTTCTAAATCATTAAAAATTCCATTTAATACATGATATTTTTCTTCAAATAATAAAAATATATTGGTATTAGCACGTTGTTGATGTTGTTAAAATATTAAAAATAATTTAGATAATAAACGTAATGATATTAAACTTGATGTTGATTTTTTTAAATTATCTAAACATGCTTGTATAAAATGTAATAATATACGTTTATCTTCAATTGAACCAAGTACTTGACTAAATAAACGTTCAATTTCATTAAGTAAATTTTCTGGTAAATGAGATGAATTATTAGTTGATTGATCTTGTAATAAATCCCATAGAAGTGTTTGACCAGGTAAAGATAAATTTGATATATTTATTTCATCATCATCAATATTACCCGTTGTACTTGAATCATTTGTTGATTCGGTTGATGATGCTGTTGATGATGTATGATTACTAAGATTTGTATCATTATCTTGTCGTTTTCGATTTTGTTGATGAATTGGTGTTGATGATCCTATATCAGATAATTGATGATTTATACGCATACGACGTGCTGATGTTGGTTGTTGTTCGCTTTCACTCATATCTTCAAAATCAGTCATATTTTTTGCTGAACCTGTTCCACTGAGTACATCTGATACAGATGAATTAAAATCACCTTCTTCTTCTTCATCGTCATCATCATCACCACCGTCGATATTTGGACGAGAACTAGAAACAATTGAATAAAATATTCTTAGCTTAGATGTTTTTTTTTATGAAACAATTTTAAGCAAATATTTATTTTATTTTATTTCTACTTAGGTCAAGAAGTACGGATCGGTTCTCTGCCAAAATTATCGGAAAAAAATTCGAATAATTCCCAACCGGAATACTACTTCCATGTTCCGGGAATCGATTCGCCGTGAGAATGAAGAATCATTTCTTTCTTACCGTTTTTTCTTTGATCCCATAGCATCTCTACAATCATAAATTTCAGTTTCCATTTCCGATGGAAGTGATCCAACTTGTGATGCATCTTCAGCACTTTCAGGTGAACAAATCTAATAGAAAAAAACAGCAACATAAAATGAATTTGTGTTTTTTTAATTTTGAAAAACGAATAAAATTTCTACTTTTTCTTGATATTTTTTTCTTGATGAATTTATTTCATGATCTGTATTATTTTCTTCATCATCTTGATTCGGACGAGTTTCTTCAATAATTTGTTGTTGTTGTTGTTGTTGTTGTTGTTTATTTTTACGATTAATTTGTTGTTTTAATGATGATTGTACAACAGTTGGTAAAACCATTCTACGAAGATCTTCATCAAATATTTCATTTTGATCATCATCATCATCATCAATATCCATTTAATCATCTGGTAAAACAAGTGTTTTAGAATTATTTATTATAAAACCTGAGCCTGATGTTGGACGTTTTGTTGGTATTGATAAATCTTCTGGTTTATACATCTGTAGAAAAATCTTTTTGGAATTTTTCTTCAATAAAAAATCGAAGTTTTTCTCTATTTTACCTGACTTATATTTGGATTCATATTTGTCATTGTTTCATCATCATCAGATTCTTCTTGATTAGCAGATGTTCCACGTTGAAATCGTTCACGATGTTGCTAAATACAAAAAAAAACAACGAATTCTTTTGTTTTTCTTTTCAATTCTTTTTTTTCTTTAGTTTGAAATTTTTCATTACCATTAATACTTCTCGTGAAATTAAATGTGTTTCATTTTCTGATTCATCATCATCTTCTTCATCATTAGTCGATGTTGGTTCAGCTAGAAAATCAAATATTTATATATATATATAAACAATAGAATTTATCTTTCGATTAATAAACCTGTTCGATTGAATGTGGTGTTGTTCATCGTACAGCTGCTGCTGCATTACGTAATTGTTCATCATTATTTTCATCCTCATCTTCATCGTCTTCATCATCACTCCATTCATCACCAGATGGATTTGTATTTGGTGTATCATCGGACTTTTTTTCGAACATAGAGCATATCCAGACGATGGATTTGATTTAAGAATATTTTGTGATGGAAATTCTTTACATTTATTAGCCATTAATTTTAAAACATTTTGTTCAGTTAAAATTGGTTGTTGAGGTGAACTAACAACAATAACTTTTTCAGCTGAATCTTTATTCATAGGACCAGTTTTAACTGTTTGTTGTTGTTATTGTAATAGTTGTTTTTTAACAGCAATCGGTCGTGGCATTGTTGAAGGTGATGAAGGAGATGTTTGCCGCATTAAATGAGGAGTATTTTTATGTTGAATTCATGCTAAAATGAAGTTTTGAAATCAATACATTCAGAAATATATATATCAATGGATCAAACTCAAATATTTTCATACCAGGAAATCCAATAGACTAATGTTCATAGTATGAATATAAAATTTGAAGAGGTTTCCTTTTCCAGAAAGCCTTTTTTCTGGAAGTGTCAAAGTCTGAAGATACTGAAAGAAATGACTTATCGATATCCATAACAATATTGATTCAAAGTATTTTTCTGAAATCTAATTTTTCTTAACATTATTTCCGACAAATACCTAGATTAATCAAAATCTCATCGGTTCTATCCTAGCAGCAATGTTCCTATCGATTTTCTAAAGTTTTCTATTTTAAAACGAAAGAAAATTCGGGAAAGTTCTTTAAATCATCATTACTATCGATTCATACTTCTAAATAATGAAATTGAAAGAAGTTTTTGTTTTCTAACCTCTATGTCGAATTAATGCAACATTTTTCAATCGATCAATCCTTTTCAATGGTGATAATTGTTGTCGTTTTAATGTTTTTTTTTTTCGTAGAATATTTTGCATATTTAATCAATTACGTTGACGAAATTTTTCTTTCACTTTTAATTCTTGTTATTTTTTATTTTGCATAATTGTATTTGATGAACGTATTAATTGACTCCAATAAGATTTTGTTAATATACTTATTAATGTTAATGTTGATTCAGTATATTGTGCACGATCACTACGACCAATTAATTATAATAAATGACTAAGTAGATGTATACTTAAATTTTTTTGTCCTAAATTCATTAATAAATCTAATATATGTCGACTACAATGTGTTAATGATACACATGACCATATTAAATCAATATGTTTAACAGTTAAAAGATTATTTGATGCTAAAAAAATTAATATAGTTAAACATTGTTTAAGTAATTCTGTATGTAGATTAGGTCCAAATAAATAATCAATAATTTTATTCTCAATAATCCAATTAGCTAATTTACGTTCATGATGATTATGTGATGAATATTCATCATTATCATTCGTTGAACTTGTTGCTGATGCATCATTAGTTAATTTTTGTGTTGTATCATCTTCACCATCGGATTTACTAACAGTAAATATTTCTTGTGTTGTATTTGGATGTGAACAACATGACATGATGCGGCTGCTGCTGACGCTGCTGCCATCGATTGATGACGACGATATTGTGTATAATCAAGACATTGTTGAATTTGATTTGTTATATGTGATAGACCAGTTAAACGTATTGTTAATGTTGAACATGTTAAATATTTTAATGCTAATGTTAACATTAAATGATCAAAATGATAACGTTGAAATTGTATTGTATGATGATGTTTTGTATTATATGGTGATATAACACCTGTTGATGATGTTGAACGTTGTCGAAATGTTGTTGTTAAATATAAATCTTTTAATGATGCATATAATAAATCATTGGTATTTTTTTTGTCCACATAAACGTAATTCATTATCAGATAATAAACACATATAACGTATGGCATGTGAACGAATTGGTAATAGAAAATTTTTTATAATATCTATATAAAATAGAAAAGTTTATTTATATTAATTATGGAAATGAAATATCTAATTAACAAAGAATTATCTTCTATTCTAGCATATTCTTAGATGTAACGTTGTGTGGAAGTTTTAATGGAACGTATGTTCTGCTATCTATAAGTTCAAGGTAAAGACTTCATGCTGTGTATGCGATAAAAGTGTACGAAGATTATTAGATAACTTTAGCGATCTATATTACTCGACGTTATCAAGAAAGGCTTGATGAATAAAGTAAAAGTTATGAAGGATAAGATTATAGAAAACATAAGTATTTGAAAATAATCTGAATATGATCGTGTTGTTTATTAGAAGTCTTCTTTTTTTTTTTCATTTAATTAATAGTTTTAACAGGAAGAAAATCTTAATCTTTATAGGAAAGCTATTTTCCAATTCATAGATCGTCTTTCAATGAAGACTATGCTAATTAATTAGAATGAAAGAAGCTATAGTCATCATGAAAATATATTAGTTTGAAACTTGATCTAGAAATGATGCTTAATAAGAAGTCTTTTTTTCAAAACTTTGAGATCTCTTCTACGAGACCTATAATAGTATATTTCACTTATACTTGATGGTTTTTTTTTTACTCTGCTTTGCTACTATTTACAAATATTGTACATGTAAACGTTTGTGTTCTTTTGTTCTGTCCTTCACCAGGTGCTTTTCCTCCTCCCATTACATTAGGGCTTTTCCCCTATTCTTTGAAGTACACGGTGACACAATTCATTGAAAATCTCTTATGAATTTGTATCATTTTCTTAATAATAAGCTAAGAACTCGAATTCTTTTCGTATTTACCTATATTTAAATGATGACGTAAATTTGTTAAAATAACAAATAATGCATGTGCAATTGATAATAGTAACATTCGTGTATTTTTAGCTGATTCAAATACTTGTCGTATAACAATAAGACCACGATTTTCACAAAATGCGCATATATGTCTATATAAATAAAGTTATACATGATGAGAATCATTATTACCATTATTATGATTTGATGATAAATTTAAATGACAATAGGATGATAAAAATGTTTTAAAATCAGCTTATGCATGTTGCATTTGATAATAAGCAACATGATGTGCTAATGATAGATTACGATGTGCAACCGAATATATTGGTAAATTAAGTGTAAAACAACGAGCTACACATAATAATAAACGTTCTTTTTCTTCTAATGTCTATTGACGATATTGACGTTGTTGTTCTTGATCTGTTGTTGTTAATATACTACATATTTGTGTTGATGTATCCTGATTCATTGAATTGATTAGAAAAATCTTCATCATTTAAATTATCAGATACTGTAAATGTTTGTAATAAATTTATTACATATAATAATAACCATTCAACAAGTGACGAAAAACGTTCTATTGTTGTCGAATCATGACATAAACATGCACATCGACTAGAAGAAAATTATAAATAGAATAGAAAAATCTCGATTAAAATAAACAAATAATTTTTTCTCAATCATATCATTCAATGAAATCTCAAAACTCTTTACAAAAAAATTATAATAGTATTTAATACAAGGGGGAATCAGCAGAGACTTCAGCCGTGAAGTCTCATGAAGTCTTGTAAGTCTTTTGAAGTCTTCTGAAGTCTCTTGAAGTCTTCTGAAGTCTCTTGAAGTCTTTTGAAGTCTTATGAATTATCATAAAGTCTCATAAAGTCTCNCATTGGTGCTTGATGTATATTCTCAATAACATTTTTGCGGCTTGTGAGAAATACAAAACTCGTAGGATTACTTTCTTTTTGTTGTTCATCTTCCGCTGTGCAAAATGATATTTCTCAATTGTTTCAATATATAGACATTAATTTGGAAAAAATTATACATAGCGCCTGTTGTACTTGAAAACAATATGGACTTCTTTCGAATGGTAGAAGAACTATAATCGAAATACTCAAATTTAATTAAAAATACTCATCCTAACTCTGACTCATGTAAAGATAGCACATCTGTTTATGTTGTCAACTCTGGAATTGATATTAACACTCGAAATTCTTCTTTATAAACTACCGATTTTAAGTATTTGTATTTAATGTTCATATTATTCCGCGAGTTTCCTGTCAGTAGGGTACATAATTCTTATTACCGATTGAAAAAATGCATATACAAACTTACGCAAGAACTTGTACATCGTAATTTAATGCGAACACATAGATCTCGATTTTTTGTAACACCATAAACTCCTCATCTCAATGTATAACTACATCGTATTATTTAGTTTTTTTTTCAATAATTTATAATCTTGTTTTAATCTAAGAAAAATTTTTTCTTATTATCAATGAATAACTTACGTTTGAGGCCAATTACTAACAAATGAAACAAAAGTACAAATGTCATCCTTTTGAAGATCAATTGCTTCAATTAATTCCAATGAAGAATCTAAATAGAAAAATAGATTGTATTCGAATAAAAACAAATAATCATTTTTTCTTTACATTTCTCCAGTATTGGTAACAATGTGCTGCAAAGAGCACATGGTGGTTGCATTGATATTTTTCTATAAATATAACGAAAAATTATATGTACATATATTAGAAGAATATTCTGGAAATAAAATAATGAGAATCGATAATTTTCCATCTGGAATGATTTTGTTATATTCTACCTTAAAATTTATCTTTAAAAATTTCAATAGTCTTGAAAAAAAAACTTTATGTGAATTAACTAATCGAAATAATGTACGTTGAGTTTATATAATCGTCTTAAAAGTTGACAATATTTGTTTGTTGAATAGACAAAGAAACTCACAATTGAACAACGTTATCTGAGAAAACGGTAAACTATATACCAAGAATATAAATTATTCATTTGTTAATTATTAACCATTCAAATTTCAAATTTCAATGAGGGACAAGTTTATTTTATTACATTATCTATTTGTTTACATTCAAACAGAATTTTACTCGTTTTTTTCATGATTTTATTTTATTTTTTATATAGAAAATATTAATAATAATCTTATTGAATAGAATGAGCGACATCTATAAGCGCGACTTAAATGAGGATTTTGAATTTTTCGTTAGTTATCAGAAAAGATCTTTTTAAAATGATGATTAGTACACGTCTATCATCACGTTCATTTCAATCTATGATAAATGATGAAACTTTATGTGATGATTTAACAACATTAAATCAAAATTCATCATCATCAATGGTATATCGTACATTAAATATTCATTGTATTAGTCAAGAATATATATTTCGAAGTAAATTTTCTGTTTTTCGGGAAAATTTTTTCATTGATTTAAAATTTCTTATTCGTTTGTTTTTATTTTTGTAATTAAGAAGAAAATTCTTCGCAAGTAAGTAAAACACAATCAATTGAAGAAGAAGAAAAATTAACATGTGAACATACAAAAAATGAACACGATTATTCCGAATCATTAGAAAATCTTCTTAATTTAACACCAAGAAATATTACAATTATTGAATTAATTACATCAGAACAACGATTTGTAAACGATATGAAAAATATTTTAAAAGTAAACTATCATTTATTTCAAATGTTTACGGTCTATCAAGATCCTCTTTTTTATCTTTTATTATCATTCTAATTCTAACCTGGGTAATAAATAATAAATATTTGAACTTTTATTTTCCCAGTAAATGAGCAAAATTTTAATAAATTGCTTACAGCTTTGGAAAAAAATCATTTATCTGTTTTGAATTTTTCAAATCACACTGGGATCTACCTTATTCAGGAAGTCTGTACTCAAGAGTGATTCATTCCTTGAAACAATTTCTTTGTCGGTGCTATTCTATTTTTGACATAGTTCTTTACTTTTTCAATAAAAATTACAATATATATATATATATATGTATTTGGCATTAAAAAGATGCAACGAACTGTACTTAGAGAATGAATCTTACTATGATAGATCGACCACCTTTCCACATGCTTAACATTTACTTATCAAGTTTTAAACGAAAAACAAATAGTGTGGGATGTGAATGTAGAGAAGAGCCACACCCACATCCTCATAGACAAATTTTTCAAAAAACCTCTTCGAATCAGTAAAAACGATAATCGACCTATTCCAAAAACAATGAGAGACGTTCATTCTTAGTGAACTATCTAATAATTTTCAGGTCTTAAGAATACTCAATGCTCCCATGAAAGAAAAACAATCAAACTGGATTGTTGTATTAAAACATTTGTCATTTGCATTGTTTCAAAGAGCGTAAGACGTTAAATCTTAAATATTGATATTCGTCCGTTTATTTTCAACAACAATTTCATTTGACCGAAATAGAAAAACATGGAATCTATTTCGAAAAAAGATCTCGTTTTATTTCGACTGTAAATTAACTGGCACAAGAGCTCAAATTTTTCTAGATATGTGCGCTTTAGATGATATTGACAATATTATTCGTTTAAACTTACTCTTAAACAATTTTCGTGTATCTACACAACGAGTCTTACGATGAGCAAAGGAATTTGAGCAATATCTCAGTTAATTAGCAAAGACCAAATAAAAAAAAACGTACTGTCGAAAATCTGATTTGTTGTACATATTTTTTATTAGATATTACCAACTAAAACAGCATGAATCATATATCTCTCATACTGAACCTTGCTTATTAATATTCACATACACTGGAATGCGGTACTTCGTTTTCTTTTGTTTACAGCGTATCGAATTGGGACTTTTACTTTATTTTTCATTCCTTCAATGTGAGTGAACCTTTTCCCAAGATTATTTCAATCTCGTCCTATCCAAATTCTATTCAGTTTCTTTGATATTTCATTTACCTATATAATGATATCAAGAGACTTTTATCGTATTTTTTAGACATATATAACACCAATGTTGGAAAGCAATATTTTATCATCATCTCATATAGATGCACTTTTTCTTAATTGGCCAAGTTTAACGCGTACTCATGAAAAACTTGCTAAGTAAGACTAACTATCATACTTCCATTCTATAGATTTATAATCTATATTATATAGTGAATTATTAACTGCTTTGAAAATGGAAGGTGAACAAATATCTATTGGAAAAATTTTATGTGAATTCGTAAGTAAAATTATACTTATTGTCATTATTATGTGAAACATGATCTAAAAGATTTGCTCTTACCTTTTAGCTCACAGACTGTGACTGACACTGTTGACACATTATCTAGAGTTGTATATCATTAATTGATTAATGGAAATAGCTTTAAAAAAAACATTCATTTTTCTTTTTTGCACTCAAGTTTTTACAAATGTGCAAGAGCAAATATTGTGTTATACTTATTTATATCTTTTAGACTTCTTAGAGATAAATATATAGTACTTCTATATATAGCGCGTAAAAAAAGAAGTAATTTATTCATCAATTGATTACTAAATTGTAAATCTTGCATTTTCTAACTCAGCTTTTAAATCGAACATTTCTCTCCTAACAACGATCCAAATCGATATTATGACTTTTACAAAAACATATAGGATAATAATTTAGCTCGAATAATACAATTTAAATTGTACTTTTCAAAAAAGCAAATAAAACATACCTCAGTTAAAGAAATAATAAAAATATGGACAAATCCAGTAAAACAAAATTAATAGTTCTTCAAACAATACTGTTTGATTATTTTTATAATAGCAAGCAAACTTGTTTTAAACATATGATTATACTTTATGGACTACTATCTTATTATATGTTTGGAAAATTAAGTAAAAGTATGTTGACGAAATATGTTTCAAAGATAGATAGAATACAATAATCTCCATATGATTAGTAATATCGTGTTTCACCTATAAATCTCACAGGGATTACGCTAATAACTTTTGTTTTAAAATAGATTCCTCAATTAGTTAGTGAATATGAAATTTACTTTCGTTTTCATCCAACTGCAATGAAATGTTTTCGTGAACAATTTAATATATCTTCAAAATTTCGTGCTTTTATGCAGGTTATATAAAACACCCAATTATTCTTTATCATCTCATCTAGATTTTGATTATTTTTTTTTCTTAGAAAACAAAGCAACAAAGTTATGGAATAGGTACAATGGGTGATGCAAATATTTTAACATTACCATTACAACGTATTGCTAAATATCCATTTATGATCTATCAAGTATTAATAATAAATATACGAAAATGAAAACTTATTTTATATTTTAATAGATTTTAAAAAATACATCAGATAATTATCATGATCATAATCAATTACATAATTCATTAAAAAAAGCAAATGAATTACGTGAAACAATAAATAATGCTATTGATGAAGAAATAAATCGAACGAAATTTGAATGGTTACAGAAACATGTTGATTGTACAAAGATTAATGAAGTTAAATTTAAAGCAAAAAAAAAATTTTTATTATTAAAATTTTTCTTTTTTAGACAATCATATTTAATTCATTAACTCATTTTGGTGAACAAAGAAAATTATTACATTATAGTCATATACGATTGGTATAAATTTTCTTTCATTAGTTCTTTTTTTTTTTTTTCTCTGAATTTGTTTTTATTATAGTCAAAATCAACAAATAATCTTTTATATGCAATGTTATTTAATGATTTTTTACTTTTAACTCGTATAAAACGACCATTAATAACAAAAATTCTTCAAATTATTAATCGTACAACGTATAATCATCGACGACAACAAAATCAATATATTTATAAACCATCAATAAAACAAACAAATATCGATTGGTTTGATTCATCTGAAGCTGATCATCTTTATTTAATTGTTTATAAAAAAGTAAATCTTTATAAAAACACATAAGAAAAAAAAAAAAAAAAAGAATAATTCTTTGTTTTTTTTTGCTGTTGTTATTAGCCTATCATGTTACATGATATACGAAATGTTGGAATAGTAGAAAATAATTCGTTAGCTTTTCAATTTGATTATCATGGAAATCAAATGATTTTCTTAACAAATAATATTAATGAAAGGTAAATAATATTTCAATTATTTATTTATTCAAACTCGTTCAGTAGCTTCTTCTATTGAGTTTCGATCTTGCGTCGCAGTTTCTACATTACTTCATCGAACTTTTAAACGTTCTTAACAGGCGCTCGATATAGTTCCGCCAAATTATTCGTGGATGTCCCATTGATCTTCTATTTATTTCAGTTCTTTTCCAGTACACGACGTTACATTCTATGTACCACTGTTTATTTGACATTTCCGTTGTTAATTCTGATTAATTTTGCTACTGAGCGTGCCATTATCGCATCATGCCATTCTCTCCACGTTGCGCTAACACAGTTGGCAAAACTGTCAGTAGTCGTTTTCTCTTCTTTGTTGGCACCTATAATTTGTTCGAATTAAACCCGGTCGACCATTAGACATCCGCCTATGTGCTCTATCTCCAGGATAGAGCCTAGCGGATTCAAACTTTTCAAATTCGAGCCCTTTCGAACGTACTTTACACAATTCTCAAACGAGCCGTCTGAAAATGTTTAGAGTAGATCTCATCGAATGTAAAGTTTTCAGTTTGCTTGGTTTGTATATCATGAGAATTTTGTAGAGGTTCGTTAGTGTAACTCAGGAAACAAAGCTTGGAAATGAGATTGTCTTGTCTTTCTAATATTTCAATTAAATTTGAATTTATTGAATTCTTTATTTTAATATTTAGACTTTTATGGATAAAAAATATTAATGATGCAATAAATATTTGTCGCCGAAAACGTTTAATTACTTCAATGCTTCGTGCACCAGAATCAAGTAAAATATTATTGTTTGATTTATATTCTTTTAATTGGTATGTTTAGATTTGAATTCGGTGGTTTATCAACCGATTGGAAAAATATTTATTCGAGAAATTAATGCAATCAATTTGCCATTAATATCGTTACAAAAGAATGGTCAGTTTGAGCAATATTATCAGAATTTTGATTATTAAAGTTTATGCCAGTTGACTGAATCGTCGTTCCTGAAAATTTCAATTCAAATGAATATGTGTCCTTTGAGCAACATGTTTTCATAAAACATTATTTTTTTATAAAAAAATCTCTCAAAGTAGCTCATTCTTTAGATATTTTATTTCTTAATAGAAGCTCGTCTGTTCGGGCTAAAACTCACAAAATAATAAATATTATGAGATTTATTATTAGAAGAGTTTTCAGATGAAACATTATTGCTGTTGTTTTTCTTTTTTTATAATATCTCGCAACATGCTGAAAGTTCAGTAAAGTGACTATAACTCGAGAAAAAAGATCGAAAGATACAAACAACTTTAGAGTTTTCATCTAAACTAAGGGGTCAGACCAAGAATATCAATTAGAAATATCCTTATACAAGAAAATTTTTAAAACTTGTTCCGAAAAATTCAACTGTCATTGATTGATTTTTAGAAAAAGTCTGAAGGATGAACTACCGTAGTAAACACTTGTTTGTTTGATGATCATATTAGAATTTTTACTAAATGCATAACAGTTTTTTGAATCCTAGATGATGGAATTTTTTTTTTCAACCTATGAGTGACTGATGATCTAGTCTTAGAGGTGTGTCGAGTAGACGGAATGGAATCAAACCTTAATCTCAGCAAATTTTGTGTTTTTGCTCAGTGATTTAAAAAATTTTCTTCCTTTTTTTGAGAGTTATCTTCCTCGGAAATCATCCATCTTTTCTGTATTCGACTACTTCGAGATACTTCTATCCAGCCGTTAGTTTTCTAATTGAATGGAGTAGTTCGAATCGTGCTTGCTGAGTCATTCTAATCTAGACTGCAGCGACAAAAGATAGGAAATAAAGTTATGAAATCAATTTCAATGACAAAGAAATGAGAAAGAGCGTGCTGAGAGATAATAGAAAGAAAAAAGTGCTTAAATGAGCTCTTTATATATCAACTCGATCACTCGACTCAGACATGAATAGTAAGACATTAATGGATCATATATGCCATATCGTGATGACATATTTATTAAACAAAATCTTAGAAATATAAATGATTTCATGACTTTAACCAAAAGTTCACCTATAGCTCAACCGACAAAATCTCATTTTAAAACTTCGGTCAATGGATCTGGTTTGAGATCGCCCAAATGAACAGTTTAATCCCAAGTATAGGGTGACGACTAACTCTTGGAAGGTTCGAACCAACATAATCATTTAACATCTCTCTTTCGAACATTATTCTATGAATATCTTCATGAAAACTTAATTTGAGTTGAATTCTAGTGAAGATGTTTCTTGTTTATTTTGATCTCACAAAAGACTCATAATATGTTTAGGTCATAATCCGTATTGCATAATCGAAATGAATAAATGTCAACGTCAAACAACACCTGTTCTTTGTGATACATCAAATTTACAATGGAATGTTTCATTTCGATTTTTTATTTGTGATATAAATAATGATATTATTAAATATTCTATCTATAATCGATCTAAATATACAAAAGATCGTAAGATTATTTGAATTAATTTGAAAATTTTTCTTTTGTTATTCAATTATTTTAGGTCTTCTTGGTTCAATTGAAATTCCTTTAAGATTATTAATTAAACAAAGTGTTCAACAAGAAGATTCATCATCAATTTATTCATTACAAACAAATCATATTTATGAAATGTCAGCATTAAATTGGAAGATGCGTACATTTTATCTTGAACATTCATCAAATAATTCACAAATATCTATTAAATATATTGTTTATTTAAATGAATAATACCATCAATAAGAAACAAAACTCTTTCGTTTATCTGTTTATTGTTGTGCTCGTATGAAACATTGTCTTATTGTTTTTTTTTTCTTATGCTATTAATTATTCTTTTTTTTCTTTTTGGGTGTTTTATTTCTTTATGATTTCATCGTTGTGCCTGATGTTTCTTTTAATTTCTAGTTAGTAAAATTGTGTTCATATAACTAAAACCATAAATGAAAATTAAATTCTTTCATTCTTTATCTATATCCATATATGTGCTTGATTTATTGTTATTATATTTCAACATGTATTTGTAAAAAATAAAAAAAAAAATAAAAAGTTGTATACGATTCTGAGGAATCGTTTACAAAAATTATAGTAACAAATTAATTTACAAATTTAAAACAAAATTTCTTTTTTAATACTTTATGATAGTTACAATTTATTTTCTCCGTAAATAATACAGGATCTATTAGCATTGATCAATAGAATTTTATAAATAAACATAGTCAAGATATTGACATCCAGGAAACGAAGGCGAATGAGTAGCAACAAAAAATATCTAAAAAAAGAAAAATGTGTGGGTATATAGATGTGTTGGTGTATAAATACGTTGGATCACGCAATGTCTTGAACAAAAGCATATATCTGACGATAATCACGCCATATATATCGTACAAAGATTATCAAAAGTAAGTCACATCATATTGAAGATAATGTAGCATGAAATGAAGAGTACCTAATAATAACGGAGTCAGCAGCAAAAGTTGCTTTGATAATAAAAATATTCTGGTTGAATTTCTAGTATAGACAATAAGTCAACTGTATTTGAATTTGTATATATCTATTGATTCGATAAGTGATAAATCTGTTTGTTACAGTATAATTTAGAATATCACATAACATATAAACTTCTCAAAACTTATAAAAATAACACGTAACACTTTACTTAATGAAAAAAGTAAATATTATTTTATATCAAGTTGATAAAATATTGTTATCATAATTCTGCACGGACGCTTTTAAATGGTTATAATGATTTATTAATAGATGTTAAAAAAGATTTACTTTGTTGTTTAAAAATAACTCGAAAGCACAAAGAATTTTTTAGAACGAGTTTCCGTCTGTGTATAATTTGGTTCATGACATGCAAAAATGGGAAATCATTCGAAAGAATAATTTCTTTTGTTTTCTGTCTTATCAAGTCATCAATAAAATAATGATGTGAATTAGATTTCTAAACTGTCATTAAAAAATGCGACTCTATAATTTTGATCAAATGTCCTGTTTAAATAAATTTCAGACACAATTTTAAAAGAGGTCTATTTATATTTACATAGGCTGAAAATCATATCATTTAGATAGTTTCTATATATAATCAAGTTCTATTTAAATTATCTCTTATATTCTTCTGAGATATTTATAAAAAAAATTCCAAACATTTGTTTTTTGATAAATTATCAATGAATAAAACTTTGTCATTTTCTTTTCAATTACATTAGAGATCATCATATTTTTTAATATCACTCAAACAATTGCTAATAATGGAAAACTCTACATTTTGTGTTTTATACCCCAAGGATTTTATTGTGTTCGGAAATCTCCGAAGATTTATTATATTTTATATTATTTAAGACACACACAATACATAGAGATTTTTTCTCAAGCGTAACAATGATTCTTGTAGATTGAATTCAGTTTTTTGTTTTATTTCTTTAAAAAAAAAAAAAAAAGAAAAGGCCAAGTCTGTCAAGTTCAATCAAATAAATGAGAACATTTTCTTTTTGTTCGTCTATTTTTAGCATTAAATGGTTTTTTTCCATTTTACCAAGAGTAATTCTATAGACTAGAGGGTCTCTTCAGTCAATCATAATTTGACAATTTTTTTGTTGAAAGTATATATAATATATCTTACGAACTCTTCATCATTAAGCATGAGAGGAAACTAACGGAAAATACAAGTTCAATCTAAGTTATAATAACAAACTGAAATAAGCGTAAAAAATCATAGATGATAATTGTATTTCAAAATAAAGAACTTTGTCTTTTCAAATTTATTTTGAAATATATAAATTATAATTATATATACACAAATTGAATTTGGTCTTTTTTTTTCTTGTTTTAAGAAGATTCATGTCCAGTAGCACGATCAATTAAAGGGGCCGATGGAAATGATATCATTGAACTAAAATATGTTTTCATTTTACTATGTCGAAATGACGTTGATACTGTTCGATTAATAGATCGATAAAAATGTGTATTTATTAATAAACAAAATAAATGAAAAATACTTGATACTGTTGATTTTACTTTTGTATCACTAGTTTTGAGAAGCCATAAAGCAACTAAATATAAATTAAAATTAATCAATATCGTCGAAAGTTTCTAATGAATATCAAAAGAAAAACTTACTAAAAAAGGATAAAGCATGGAATAAAACAAGAGAACACAGGACAAGTTGTAATGATGTTCTGTCACCTGATCGAAGTGTTAGACCGAGCACTGTGGCCAGAACTATAAATTTAAATTAAAGAAAAATATAAACAACTAATTATCACGTACAAGCATAAGATGTAGCCAAATGTACGGTTGATTCAAAGCCACCAGGTAAAATAAGACGCAAACAAGCTGGCCAAAGTATTCCCTAGACGTAAAAAGAATGTTTTTTTTCATTTAGAAAATTAATGTTTTTTTTCTCATTTTATTACCATTACAGTAAAACAACTAAATATCGTTGCAAGTAAAAATAACCATGTGGCAAGGTTAGGTGATAATTTAAAAATTAAATTATCCGATTGTCCAAGTATTTGACCAATTTTTGAACTACATATTGAACCTGTTGCATCACCAACACCTAATACTTTTCGAACTTTAAGTCGACTTTGTAAATCACCACAACTACTTTTTCTAAAAGAAAAGAAATTTGAAAAACAAAAACCAATTAACTATAATTATCAATGAATAATTTTCATAATAAGTTTTGTTTGTTATTATATGCTAAAACATATCAATTACCTGCTATAAATTTGCATATATATTTCGTCGTAATCAGAAAAAAAGAAGTTTGATGACTTTAATAATATGTCTTGATTAAACAAAGTATAGAAAAAGTAAAAAGAATGATAGGTAAATTAGTAATTTGTTCTTCTGCAGTGTGTCGTAGAAAACTAACAAACAATAAATGCAATTATAAGTGGTTGTAATAGTGGTATGCATCGAGCTGAGTTTTAAATAAATACGAAGAAAAGAATGCCTGGTGTTGTGTGTTGTTGATGGAATAGAAGAGTAGGAAAAAAAAAAGAAAAAGAAGAAAAAAGAAAGTCAACGAGGAAGGATAGACAGCTATTCCTTCTATCGTATATAATTCTTTGCTATTAGTGTTTGTCAAAATAATTGTTTGATAGTGTGTATGATACTCCACAAAAGTGACTCAAGAGATATAAAAGAAGGAAATTCAAAGAAATTGCAACTTGCACAATATGTCATATGTTATTATAGATAAAGCAAAAAAATAAAGAGCATTTATTAATGTAAACAAACAGATAATTCTTACAGCATACATACAAGATAAACTCCGGTTTGCGTGGCATTCGACCAAGTATATCGGTTGCTGTTGTTTGTTGCAAAGGTGTTCTTGTTGCCATGTCTTTTTTTCTTTTCTTTCTGTTTTCTTATAATTTCTTGCTTCTATAACATTAAAACAAAAGAATATTCAAAATAAATGGTTGCATGTAGGAATAAAAAGAATATTTTTATAATTGCGCTAACTAACTCTTCTATGTCTTCTCCTATGAGATGTATAGAAATTTGACATAAAATAACAAACTCTGAGAATATTTGCTCATGGCATACATTGTACTATGATTCAAATACTGGTAATATATAGCATATGATACATTCATTTTTCTGGCGTCAATAACAGACACAGCTAGTCGTATGTAAGGCCTGAATAGAAAATAAAAAGAGAAAAATGCAAATATATTTTCCGTATCATACAAATGAAAGAAAAAAAAAGGAGTATCTTCTTTTCTTTTTTTCTATTTTTTATATGATCTTTTGGACTTGAGCTATTTTTTGCTTTCATACGCAATGAAAGTCGACAGACAAAACCTATTGAAATACTATGTAGGACATATTCTTCAATTTCACTAGTATGATGAACTTTGAAACATCTATATTTTTAGAAAGTCATATTACACATTCACATGATATCTTACCAAACTTCGACAAAAAAAGGACTACTAGTAATATTTTGTAGTTTTTATATAGTTATGATAAGACGTATGTTGTGCTTTTGGGAATGTTTATTATGTGTATGAATGTACCGAAAAGAAAAGCAACTTTTTCCCTTCCTTCTCTATTACTGTCTATAGCCTTCAACAACATTCTAGCAGACTGATTAGATAATGTGTAATATTGCTAGCAATAGAAAAATATCCATTCTATTCTATCATGCCAAGCATCTCGTTCGTAAATATGTTCGTTATTTATATAATTAAATAATAACAGAATTTTCTTGAAGAAAGACACTTGAAAAAACTTTGATAAACAATAACATGTGATCACAATGACGAAATAAGAAAAATCCATTCGATTATTTGTTTATGTTTCTAAATTAGACAATCTAATTTATCAAAAAGAAAAAAGAAAAAAAGAACTAAGAAAACTATGCAACAAAAGGAAAGTAGAAATCTCAAGAGATACAGATAATAAATTGAATAAAAGAAAAGAAGTGCTCTTCGGTATAGTCATTAGAAGATAGTTTTTTCTTTTTCTTGTAATAGATTTTGATAATTCATCATATGAAATCGAGATAATTTGTTTAAAAAAAGGAGAGAAAAAAATTATGCATACTATGTTAATTAATAGTAGAAGTCGTTTTTTTACATATTTTCTTATCTATAATCTATTCGAGCTAAGAAATCTTTGAAAGATTTTTCTTTTCTTTGATGGCCGATTGAAACAAGAAACTTTTTTTTCTTTAATGAACTTTCTTTGATGCTAAAAATATCCAAATGATTCGA